GGGGGATGATGAGAAAGATATGAGGAATTAGACCTCGCCAGCTGGAAATGAAGGTTTGGTCAGTTGGTATGTTTTCAAGAGAGGGAATTTTGTCGAGTGAGAGAGGATCTGTCTATAAAGCTGGTGGTGATCGAGCTCTTTTGCCCCACCGTCCTACAGGATCCTTTTTTTTTTTTTTTTTTTTTTTTTTTTTTTTTTTTTTGGATATTGTTGGATGATGCAAGATATAACTATAACATAAATTTGCCACTGACTAATAACTAGTCAGCATCCTTCAGATCATGGGTGTTTGTTCGCTATCTTCAACTGTTTTAATAATGATAGTAGTGCGATGTCTCTCAGGCCAGTGTGCAGGTAACTAATGTAGTGTAAAAAGTGGCCCCATGCTCTTCAACAAACAAAACTGAAGACCTCCATCATGGATTCCATGGATATTGATATTATTCTGGCTGAAGGATGATTTAGTTACATATTTAAATTTTATTCACCGGTCATCCTGGTGTTCAGACCATTTAATTATGGTTTGAAGAGGAACGGCACCCTTGGTGTGCATTACGCAGCGCGTAAGCATATGCTGATTGATATCTGAGCTGAAATCATGAAATCATGAAATTGATGAGCAGTAGCTCAATTGGGTTGCTCGCATTTTCGGCCATCAGCCATGGATTGTCCTAGCCAATAATAGTACGGAGTACGCAATTACGACTGGCTGGCCTGGTCAGGTCAGTTAGCAACGTAAATCATGAATGTTCTTCTTTCTTGTATCAATGGTGTCGCGTAAAATACATCGAGGAAGGATCATTTTTGCATTCATTTTTGTCTTATTATTCTACTACATTGTGTCACTCGGCGGCTTCAGGAGCACTCGAGCGCTCTGTGTCTCCCACGTTTCTACCCCGTCCCATAGCGGGAGCAAGTATAGGATAAGACATTCCGAGCTGATATGCAGGTAAACAGAGAGACATCAGTCGTACTGTATCGGTCATTTCTACGGCAAGTCGTGCAAAAACACATCCGTATGGCTTTTGTCTCTATCCTAATCATTATGAGGTCAATCCTGGTATTTTCTAGACATTAGCAGTAACCCAACTGACAGTCAAGACTTCAACATCCATCACAGACGGCTGGTTCACGGAAGAGAAACTTTACTCATAGTTTATTTCTGCTGAGCTTGGTGTTTTGTTCTCGAATATTGCTGGAGCCAGGGGAGTTCGGGGCCATTTAAACCCGTCTCTCTCTTCGTCAGCCAGCATCGAGGCTGCAACGGTCTCTCGCCGACGTGAATCGTAGTAGCGTGAAGTCGTAGAAGATTGCAATTCCTCCAGTAATCACGCTCCGGCGTCTTGGCAACCGCGAACACTCTGTCCGCTGCGTAAGCGAGCGGGGCGGCTCTGTTCTGGAAACAGAGCATAAAAATTTCACGGCATTATGTTCATTATTATTCTTAACTGCCCTTTCTGTCAGCTTTATGCATAAGCCGCACAAACCACCCAACCACCACAACAACTAGTTTCAGCTCCTAAGATAATTAATACCCAAGTGTTGGTTATGTGTCAACCCTATTCTTAGAGATCTCCAGCAAGCTACAACTACTAAAAACCCCTTCGGAAAGAGTTCTTCTGCTTCTTCCGCTCTGCTGTGGGTCTTTCGGAGCTTCAGCAGCTCCCTCTTCCGAATCCCGTCTGGCCGAAACCCCAGTATCATCCGCACTACGATTCCAGACTTGTCGCAGGTATTTTCGAAACAAGCGGCCTGACTTTGGCCCGAAACCATCAAGTGATTATGCTTAAATCAGTTTAGGCTTGAAGACAAACCACAGGCGCCGCCCTGCGTGTCGAAATATGTCGTCATCCCATCGAGCACCCCGAAGAAGCACATGAGATATGCGTGCACAAGGGATGCGTGGTCGTCTATGCCAAGAGATCTCCAAGGGGACGCAAAGGCGATATAACTACAACAATTCCAATTCATAATATGCCTGTGAGATAATCGACAAGCAAGAGTTCCCGTCGACATGGAGCCCCCGCGAAAGACGCACATGAAGCGCGTGCTTCTTCGTCCCAATTTTTACCGAGAACATACGTGATGTAGTTACTGTACAGTACATGTAACAGGGGAGGGAAAAATGCACCTAGATCGATTGATAACTACAACCTTTGGCTGATGGTGGGTAATATAATCATTACTCAGCTCTGTCCTTTCGAGTCGGGCCGGCCGGCTTTCGGGTTCTTGCTCTGCCAGGCCTCGTGAAAATAAAACCAATTCCTTGTGGTGTTCACTGTTGCCTGGAGGCCGGAACCAGTGCTTTATCTTTATCCTACTACAGCGTAGTTGCTAGTCCAACACCGGCTCCCAGCGATTTCGTCCCACGTTTCACGGAGATTTTCAACCTCTAGCCGATTTCCAATAATACAAACTGAATTTTTTTATTTTTTATTTTTATTTTTACTTTTATTAAAAAAACGCCGGAAACAAAACATGACAGCTACAGGTTCAGGACCTCTCGGATGCTCTCGTCTCCTCCGGCCCTCATCTCAGCGTTCACCCCTGCCCCCTGCTGTCAGCCATCGCCTTGTCACGTAGGCTTCATACATGGTCGCCAGTGGTATCCCGAGGTGAGAGTACCAGCGAGCATGATCCGTAAAACCGATTGAGCACTCAGCGGTGGCATATATTTGACAAATATCACGTTTTGGCCTGGTGAAAATCAATCGCGAGCATGGCGAACGTGGAAAGAAAGGAAACTCTAGGATTGGGCCAATTTCCCTGGGTCTGGGGGCGCTGAGACCAACCGGGACTGACTTTTACCGCCATCCGATTGGATCCCCCCCCCCTACTACTCTTCTGCCATCCTAACTTCTCTGAAGATATATATATATTCCTCCCTTTTTTTCCTCTTATCTCTCGTTAAACTTTTCTTTCCCTTTTTATGTTTTACTTTCTTTTAGATTTTATAGATCCTGTCGGCCTTTCTTGTCTTTCCTTTTTTAGAACTTTATTTTCCCCTTTATTCCTGTACTATTTCTATATAATTAAACTGGGCCCATATCTTCCCCACATAGTCGCAAGACATATCTTACTCTGCCTTAACTCTGTACATCTAACGGATTCCCACACATAATCGACAACAGACTCCCGTCCAAAACCTCAAAAAGGATCGAATCATTTCAACCGTGCTAACAACAGCATACGAGTCCGCATCGCCAGTGAAAATGGCGAAGCGGGGTCGCAACGATAGCATTTGCAGTGATGAGACTGCGCGAGATATTGATACGCCCAAGGGAGAGGACGATATACAAAGCCTTGCGAAACAATTAACTCGCCAGTCCACTAATATCTCGTCGTTGGAACCTCACAACCCATTTATCGCCCCAGAAAAGGATGGTACACTTGATCCTAACAGCCCCAATTTCAACGCAAAGGCATGGATGAAGAACCTGCTAGCCTTGCAGTCACGAGATCCTGACAGATATCCCCGCCGCACCGCTGGGTTTGCGTTTAGGGATCTAAACGTACACGGATTTGGAAAGCCCACTGACTATCAAAAGGATGTGGCCAACGCACCCTTGGAAATCGGGAACCTTTTCCGTGCCGTTACAGGGACGGGGAAGCATAGAATCCAGATTCTTCGGAATTTTGCCGGTCTTGTGAATGATGGAGAGATGCTCGTCGTCTTGGGTAGACCTGGAAGGTAAGCAATATATATATAATTTTTTGGTTCACATGTCTTCACTCTTTGGTCGTGGAAATTAACAGTCTGATAGTGGATGTTCGACCTTTCTGAAGACGATTGCTGGCGAGATGAATGGTATTTATCTCGGTGACGATTCATATATCAACTACCAAGGTATGTATGATTACAAAAGTGTTGCCCTTTTAAACTTCGAGCCTGCATTTCTGATCGTACCTTCATCCTACTATAGGCATCCCAATCAAGCAAATGCACAAGCAGTTCCGTGGCGAGGCTATCTATACAGCGGAGACCGATGTTCATTTTCCTCAATTGACTGTCGGGCAAACGTTGGATTTTGCTGCCCGCGCAAGAGCTCCAGCAAACCGAATCCCTGGAGTTACGCGCGAACAATATGCTACTCACGTGAGAGATGTGGTCATGGCTTCGTTTGGCCTCAGCCATACAATTAATACAAATGTCGGAAACGATTTCATTCGGGGTGTCAGCGGTGGAGAACGCAAACGTGTGAGTATTGCAGAGGCTTGCCTAAGTCAGGCACCTTTGCAATGCTGGGACAACAGTACTCGTGGGTTGGATTCTGCAAACGCTTTGGAATTCTGCAAGACTCTACGTCTGTCTACGGATTACATGGGAGCCACTGTTTGCGTTGCAATCTACCAGGCTTCTCAAAGTGCTTATGATGTATGATATGCATTTACCCTATTTCCTATCGGCTGTAGACCTTTTGCACTTTTTCTCAGACTAACGGCTTTTGTAGCACTTTGACAAAGTTACCGTTCTTTATGAGGGCCGTCAAATCTATTTCGGACGAACAGATGAGGCGAAGCAGTTCTTCGTGGATATGGGCTTCGAATGCCCCGAGAGACAAACAGCTGCGGATTTCTTAACGTCTTTGACTAGCCCTGTAGAGCATGTTATCCGACCGGGCTTCGAAGGCAGAACACCTAGAACACCCGACGAATTTGAGGCGGCCTGGAAAAACAGCGCGGCATATGCCAAACTCCTGCGGGATATTGAAGACTATGAGACCCGATACCCAGTCGGAGGACCGTCTGTGGACAAATTTATCGAGTCCCGCAAGGCACAGCAAGCAAAGTCCCAGTAAGCATTCATCCTACATCTCTCCCTTCCCCTCGGTACCATACAATCACTCTCTAACCCTGGGCAGACGAGTGAAATCTCCATATACCTTGTCGGTTAGCCAACAGATTGGCCTCTGCGTGCACCGCGGTTTCCAACGGTTGCGTGGGGACATGTCGTTAACTTTGTCAGGTTTGATCGGCAATTTCTTCATGTCCTTGGTTCTTGGAAGTGTTTTCTATAACCTTAACGAAACGACTGAGAGTTTCTATCGCCGTGGCGCGTTACTTTTCTTTGCTATATTGATGAGCGCTTTCGCTTCCGCTCTTGAGGTATGTATGCCCCTCTTAACGATATATCTTCTTACCTTGTTCTGTTTATAGCTCGAACTAACAAGCTATTTGTCAGATTCTAACACTGTACGCGCAACGTCCCATTGTCGAGAAACATGCCAGATATGCTCTCTACCATCCCTTTGCAGAAGCTATATCCTCCATGCTTTGCGACCTGCCCTACAAATTCCTTAATTCGATAACGTTCAACCTGCCGATCTATTTCCTGTCCAATCTTCGTCGAGAGCCCGACGTCTATTTTGTGTTCTGGCTCTTTACATTCATCACCACCTTGGCTATGTCTATGATCTTCCGTACCATCGCTGCTTCTTCCCGAACACTCGCCCAGGCATTGGCTCCGGCCGCCGTTCTCATTCTTGGTCTCGTTATCTACACCGGCTTCGCCATTCCCACTCGCAACATGTTAGGCTGGGCGCGGTGGATGAACTATGTTGACCCCGTTGCATATGCCTTCGAAGCGCTCATGGTCAATGAGTTCCATAACCGACAATTTGAGTGTGCTGGGTTTATTCCCTCTGGCGGAGAGTATGATAGCTATCCCCTGGAAAATAAAGTCTGCGCCACTGTTGGTTCCATTGCTGGCTCAAGCCGTGTTGATGGTGACTTGTATCTCCGTCTAAGCTTTCACTATGAGTATAGCCATATCTGGAGGTTCGTTTATAGCCTTATTTTTCTTTTCTTTCCTTTTCGTTTTCGTCCACAAAGCTAACTTTCAATCAGGAATCTGGGAATAATTTTCGGGATTATCTTTTTCTTCATGTTCACATACTTATTCGCTACTGAGTACATCTCGGAGGCCAAATCTAAGGGTGAAGTACTACTCTTTCGCAAGGGTTATCAACCGAAAAAGGCCAAGAGTTCTGATATCGAAGCGTCTCCACCGACAACCTCTGGAGAGAAGTCCTCCGGATCAAGCTCCCAGGGTGTTTCGGCGTCAATCCAAAAGCAGACTGCCGTCTTTCAATGGAGAGACGTTTGCTATGATATCAAGATCAAAAAGGAAGAGAGGCGTATTCTTGACCATGTCGACGGCTGGGTTAAGCCCGGCACCTGCACTGCGCTCATGGTAAAGATTTCCACTTTCGGTGCTTTTACTTTTTATAGTGATCACTAACATTGTTCTAGGGTGTCTCTGGCGCCGGTAAAACTACACTCCTTGATGTCCTCGCCACTCGTGTCACTATGGGCGTTGTCAGTGGTGAGATGCTTGTCGATGGGCAGCCCCGGGATGAATCATTCCAGCGCAAAACTGGTTACATCATGCAACAGGATCTCCACGCTGCGACAACGACTGTGCGAGAGGCATTGAATTTCAGCGCGATGCTGAGACAGCCTGCTAGTGTACCACGTGCAGAGAAACTCGCCTATGTAGACGAAGTGATCAAATTGCTTGAAATGGAAGATTACGCTGATGCTGTTGTCGGTGTTCCCGGTGAAGGTATGATGACGCTAAAACTCGTTCAGGGGGAGAGTCAAAAGTAATTTATACTAACATGCATAATCTGCCTAGGTCTAAACGTTGAGCAACGCAAGCGACTAACTATTGGAGTTGAACTCGCGGCCAAACCACAACTTCTGTTGTTCCTTGACGAGCCAACATCGGGTCTTGATAGTCAAACTTCCTGGTCTATCTTGAATCTTCTTGACACGCTTACCAGGCACGGCCAGGCGATTCTATGCACAATCCATCAGCCTTCTGCTATGCTTTTCCAACGTTTCGACCGCCTGCTTTTCCTTGCTAGCGGTGGAAAGACAGTGTATTTCGGTGATGTCGGCGAGCGGTCGTCTATCTTGTCCAGTTATTTCGAAAGAAATGGTGCTTCTCCCTGCCCTCCAGATGCGAACCCTGCTGAATGGATGTTGGAAGTCATCGGTGCTGCCCCAGGATCTAAGAGTGACATCGATTGGCCTGAAGTATGGCGTAACAGCCCCGAACGAATAGCAGTTCATGTCCACCTGGACGAGCTCAAGTCTATACACTCTGAGAAAGGACAAGTTGAACTAGCCAATCGCAATCCGGAAGATTATCGTGAATTCGCTGCGCCTTTCAGTGTCCAGGTATGGGAGTGCATAGTCCGAGCGTTCTCCCAGTACTGGCGCTCGCCAACCTATATCTACTCCAAAACCGCATTGTGTTCCCTCTCTGCGCTTTTCATCGGTTTCTCCTTTTTCAACGCGAAAACCAGTCTGCAAGGTCTTCAGAACCAGATGTTCTCTGTTTTTATGTTGATGACCATCTTTAGCAACCTGTGTCAACAGATCATGCCCAGTTTCGTAGCTGCACGTGCACTTTATGAAGCTCGCGAGCGCCCGTCCAAGTCATATTCCTGGAAGGCATTCATGATAGCTAACATCTTTGTCGAGCTTCCATGGAACACACTTATGGCCGTCATCATCTTTGCATGCTGGTACTATCCCGTCGGCATGTTCAAGGTCATCCCAAGTGACGTTGTCAACGAACGCAGCGGCCTCATGTTCCTGCTTGTTCTCACATTCCTGCTCTTCACCTCCACGTTCTCCCATCTTGCCATCGCAGGTATTGAAGTCGCCGAGACAGGCGCCAACCTTGCCAACCTTCTCTTCATGTTTTGCCTGGTCTTCTGCGGTGTCCTCGCCACCAAGGAAGCTCTACCCGGTTTCTGGATTTTCCTCTACCGTCTTTCGCCCTTCACCTATCTCGTGTCCGCCATGCTCTCAACCGCCCTCTCAGGCGCGGATATTATCTGCGAACCTGTCGAATTTCTCCGCTTCAACCCGGTCGCTAACCAGACCTGCGAACAATATATGGCAGCATTCAGGGAAACATATCCTCCCAGGGGATACCTGGAAAACCCCCTAGCGACCTCAGACTGTGGCTTTTGCCCCATGGAGAAGACTGATACCTTCCTTGCGGGTATTAATAGTTATTACTCTGAAGCGTGGCGGAATTTTGGCCTCATGTGGGTGTATATTGTGTTTAATATTGCTTGTGCGGTGTTTATTTACTGGCTCACACGGGTTCCTAAGGGAGCGAAGGCGAAGGGACCAGCTGCGTGAGCTTTTCCTATATTCTTAATATATATCTTTTTTTATTTTTTTTGTCTGTCTATTGAATTTTTCCATTTTCCATTTTCCATTTTCTTTTTTTCCATTCCTTTTTTCTTCCCTCCTCTCTTTGTTTTTATTTACCATCCGGTTGAGCGGAGGACCTTTGTCAAAAGCACAGAATAATAGTGTTATTTTCAAGCGCGTCAAATTTAGATATAATATAGATGGCATAAGTGTAGAGCCCTCTGTTGGAGACGATAAAGGCAAGCAAATCAGTACATATGGATTTATTTAGCCTTCCATTCCCCTCGCTCCCTTTCTCCTTATGGTAATTATTCGTGACCCCGAATGCTGGATATCTCCTTTTGGGCGACCAGTTTCTCTCTGATTTTCATTTTCTGGCAATGACTATACGTCGCAATAAGAGACTAACGAGCGGGAAGAACAGGAAAAATATACTAAGAATGAAAAGCAAGCATTGACAAATGGGATCTTTGCTTGATCTCAACATACGGAGCATTGATACGGATAATCTTGTGGAGTCAGGGGCCGTTAGTTAATTAATTAGGGTTGATCGGCGGTAACTAGTCTTAGTAAGCCACATAGTTAGCTAGTTAGTTACACCTGGGGAATAAAAGCTTGGAAGCATTCATTCCTCTCTAGAATCTCCGAGAATCATCCCATCATCATATTTTCGTTCCTGTGTTATTACTTTTCTATTTTGCTACTAATGTTGATCTTTCGTGTCTAGTTTGCTATTCTCTGTTCTCCATCCATTCTTTTAGTTGTGTTTCGAATTGCTGTCGCCCAGACCACAAGCCTGCGCAACATTTCCCTACCAGTGCTCTCTCTACCCGCCCGCGTAGGCTGAATCAAAAACGCAATAATACCTCGCCATTGAACCCTCGCCTGACCTTCATTTGAGGACCCGCGAACAAAACAACAGATAGAGCGGCTGGGACGACGCCCATACCCGCAAATTTAACGCTTTCACGGCATTCTCCGCACGTTCTCCCGGCCTGGCTCACGTCCAAATCGCAGCCGTCCCATGCTATGCGGCAAGCAGCATCATGGGTTGGCACGCCCTCTATCAAGGGCGGGACGGAGGCCATACGAATGGCATTGTTGACATTTAGCCTCGTCGGCCTACAGTGCGTTTAAAGACAAGTCCTCTTCCTTCTATCCCTCATCCCCATGAACATACACACGCGCACCGAAGACCCCACCCCAAATCACCTCCCCGAATACCCCTGTATATATTAGCAATTTGGGGGCCTTTATCTCTATATATATATATTGATGGGACTTGTAAATATTGACTGTTCTGATGCATGAAGATTTACTTGGGGCGTTGAAATGACATGTAAATTAAACCCCCATTTTTCCTTTCTACTTCCATTCCGGTTTTTTTTCGTTTTTTGTCCACTCCGTCCGTCTCCTGGACTAGCTAGCAATTCCTCTATAGATCCCTGAGAAGACGAGCCAATCCTAAATTAACCTCCTTTGGAAAAACTACAGACTGCACGCCGTATCTCCTCCAACTCGGCCTGACGAAATCGAGAACCTCGCTGGTATGGATCGCCGGCCCGTTGTCGGGATTGATAATGCAACCCCTGGTCGGGGTAATCACGGACCGGTCTACCTCGAAATGGGGCCGTAGGCGCCCGTTCATGATAGTTGGCTCTTTTATCGTTGGGTTTTTCTTGCTAGTTTTGGGTTGGACGTCAGAAATAGTAGGCATATTCATCTCCGATGAGGATACGGTATGTGTGGGATCCTTGTTGAGGGATTTGAGAGGGTTGGTGGTCGGATCGGGGGTGGTTCGGGAAAGAGATCCTTGGGTTACGTTAAAGGCTTGGTTGAGCGAAGAAATAAGGGAGAATGGTTGTGATAAAACTGGCATATCAGGTATTGTGTACTAACTCGAAACAGAAAAAAAGCGTTACGATTGCGGTTGCGGTATTCGGCATATATGCTGCCGATTTTGCGATTAATATCGGTGCGTCTCAATGTTTACTCAGATTAATTCGCCATTCTTTACTCTTTAAGTGAAGCTTCCGAGATGATGACGGTTGACTTATATTCGGTATAGTTCAAGCGTCTTGTCGTAGCTTGATAGTTGACACGCTGCCAATTCCTCAGCAACAGCTTGGGTCAGCATGGGCAAGCCGGATGACCGCTGTCGGCCACCTTGCGGGCTACGCAATTGGTTCAGTCGATATGCTGAGCATATTCGGCCGTGCATTCGGCGATACACAGTTTAAGCAGATGACTATGATTGCTGCCACTTTTTTGATTGTCTCCGTATCCGTGACCTCGTATGCGGTGAAGGAGAGGGTGTTGATTTCAGTTAGGTAATAGCCCCCTCTGTGTACGGTTTCTTGAATTTGACTAAGTGCGAACCGTTTCGATGCGCTTAGGGATTCGGATAAGAAGATAGGGGCAGTCAAGATACTCGCCCAATTATTCAGAACGACAGTCAACCTGCCACCACGGATACAGGCTATATGCTGGGCCCAATTCTGGGCATGGATCGGTAGGTCGTCAATTCACAGGACTGTTTAATAATAATTTCACAAACTAACATGGGAACGACAGGCTGGTTTCCTTTTCTCTTCTACAGCAGCACATGGGTAGGTGAGACGTACTTCCGCTACGAGGCACCCAAAGAAGCTGCCGAGAAGTCCTCAGATACGCTAGGGGATGTCGGTCGCCTTGGTAGCATGTCACTCGTGATATTTTCCTTGGTCACTTTCATCAGTTCAGTTGTCCTCCCCTTTGGCGTTCTTTCCCCGGACACCAAGAAATCCGCCTTCGTCCGCCGTCCTCCCTTGGGCCTAATCAGGCTTTTTAACAAACTCCACTTCACCCGACCCGACCTGCAAACCGCATGGATGATCTCACATATTGTGTTTGCTTTGACAATGATATTCGCTCCCACAGCCCGTTCCGTGCGGTTCGCCACACTACTCGTAGCAATTTGCGGAGTCCCCTGGGCAGTCACCTGCTGGGCTCCATTTGCCTTCATTGGTGTGGAAATAAACCGCCTTGCGATACCGTCCTTCACAAGAAAATCAAGCGTCACCATGATAACATCCGCCACTTTCAACAGACACAACTCTGACCTAAGCAACTACGATGTCGAACTCGAAGACCGTGGGCCTTCTATCCTCCGTCTAAATCACAGCAATAGTCCAGATGTGGACAGCGACAGCGAAGCCGACGACGATGATGAGGTCTCTTCCACCGGTGAGCTGGCTGGTATCTATCTAGGCGTGCTTAATGTATATACCACCCTCCCTCAGTTCGTCGGGACGCTCGTTTCGTGGATTGTATTCAGCATCCTTGAACCGGACACTTCCCCGATAGCAACGGATGGGGATCTCAAGGACGTACCTTCTGGCGAGCAGGACGACGGCAAGTGGATAAATCGGCACGGTGAGGGCCCTAATGCCATTGCGGTTTGTCTTTTTGTTGGTGCTATATGTTCATTAGTTGCTGCAGAAGCTACGCGAAGGTTTAAGTATGCGAGGTGATGTAGAGGGAGATTGGCTTTGAAAAATCTAATGGCTTTTTAATTATTGTTTTGGTTTAGTTGCCTCTATGTTCATAACTAGGGTTATAGGGCCGTTTTCAGTCCAGGGGCAGCCGGCTGGTTTGGCCTCCTTCAAGCAGCTGTCCATGTTTGAACTAGCGGATTTTCCGATTCTAAAATGGGGGATTTTGTGGTGTGCCTAATGTGAACAGGCGTTATTTCATCTCTATGCCTCTTCCCGCCCCTTTCACATCTCCCTTTTGCTGTCTCATTCTAAAGATTCATCATGTATTTGGACTCGTTGCAGGTCAGAGAATTTATCCATTTTGTTATACTGTGGTAAATTTGCTTACATTACCACTAGCAGTCCGTCCAACTATGAATCGTCCATCAAACCAATCATGTTACGATACAAGTAGATATTAGAGAAGTGGGAATAAATACATGAGAAAGTAGGTATCTTGCTTCACTTAATCCGCCACGGGGGTTCCACTAGATGTGACACTGCGGACCCATGTCCTTCACATAGAAAACTATCACTCCCTAAACTAACTCCCCTTCCTCAAAGCCATTTATCCAGGCCTCCTCTTCACAAAATTCTCCAAATCCTGCCTCGTCGCCACGCCCAACACAAACTTGCGACTCGCATCAGTCACTACGGCAAAATCCTGCTTCTCTCTCCTCTCTACACTGCCATCTTCTCTCACCAGCTCGCCATCGAAGAATCTCTCCAGCTCCTCCAGAGGAGTGTGCATGGTGATAATCTTATACACATGCCCGCGCCTCCGGAAACGCAACATGGCCTTCTCCACGGGATCGGATTCTCTGACGGTGCCTTCTTTCAGCTGCGCTCTTAACCTCGGGATGCTGAGGTAACCTAGTAGCGAGCGCGAGGAGGAGGATATTACGGTTAGGTGGGTATAGTCGCGTTCGTAGGCGGCCAGGAGGGCGCTGGATATTTGATCGTGGGGGGAAGTTGAAAGGGCGGCAGGTGGGTCGAGGTCTTCAACTGTGGCCTGTTTGGTTTTTCGAAGAACAATTTACGTTGTTATTAGCATATTTCATAGCAATAATAGTCGTGTTTTTGTGGACTGGGTATTGCTTGGGCACTTACACCACGGTATTTGTCAGACATGGAAGTTAAGGGAGTTGAGGCGGAGGCGGTGGCGGTGGAGGGCGGGATTCCGTTTGCGGGGGTACGTTCCCGCTCGTACGCTTGGCTGGCGGATGAGTAGGACGTCATTGTGAAGAGGTAGGCAAATTGAACTTGTTTATAAGTCTGTTCTGATGTACGGTGGCGGTATGCTGCTACGCGCTCCCTTCGTTCGTGATGTGTCTATGGTATCAATTCGACATGGCGGGGCAGGGGAAGTGAAGAGTGAGTCGGAGATGCAGGCTCTTTGGTCAATTGTGAAAAATGGTAATAGAGTGCTTGATATATTCTTTCCCTCCCTTCTATCTTTCATTTCGCGCTACAGCTGTCGCCGAGTTGAAGTCTTAGATATAATCCCCAAATATTTGCTTTAATAGTTGAATCGACTACCGACAACCGCATTAGGAGGCATTTTGTACCGTACCGTACCACCACACTAATTTAGTATGAGAGAGTAGTTCTAAAGCAAACAAGACAAACATGTTGTTAAGCGCAGCCGCCATTGGGATTACCTAAGCACAACCACAAACCGGGGTTAAGGCCAAAACCCGAATCTATCTGCATTGGGACTAGCGCCGTCCTCCCGCCTGAATCGCCAGCCTTTGGAACAACCGACGTCGACTCCCCCTGGCTTGCTGCAAGGTCAGTCAGTCATTCTCGTGTTCGCTGCTCACTGGCAGAGAGGGAATCCAGCAATTGCGATTCAACTGCATTCTATATACACTCATTGCGTTGGGAAATCGTGCTTCTTGTGCTTGTTCGTGTGGTTCATACTATTCCGTAGTGTGACGACGTCATCACAAAACAATCAGGTTTTGACACAGCCGGATAACGCCGTACTTGGCCATCAACAACAAGTTGCTTCTGTCAGGTCATAGTAAGCATACTTCTGCGAATTGTCTGCCTTTACACAAAAAGCCCTCCTTAACGTTTCCCAATGGATTCGTTTTTATTAAATTCGTCGGTTGATTGATGAATGGGAATCCCTATAGACTAGCACTGCTTTACCAACGACAAGACTCTCACCATGCCTTCCATCTTCCCCAACCAAGATACTCTTGTCAACACCTTTGGCTCGAGACATCCACTCTTTGGCTTTCATGGAGAGGCACAGAAGCCAGCCCCAACGCCAATGGATAGACCTTTGTTCCCTGCATGGAGCGCCATTGATGATGTCAAGCATAAAGCAGAGGCCGTGGGCAAGTCAGCTACCAAGGAATTCGACAAGGCCAGCGCAAAGGTCCAATCTAAAACTGGTCAAATCGAGCTGTATAGTCCAAAGTATTATGCTTCGTGTATCTTTGGAGGTTTACTAGCTTGCGTGAGTTTCTTCCAGATACTCTTTGCTTGTAACACTTTTATTCCTTTTTTTGTTTCTGTCTTTGATTACCCCCCACCCGCTTGGTAAGGAACCACTACCAATGACTATGTTTAGGGCTTGACACATGCTCTTGTCACTCCGCTGGACTTGGTGAAATGTCGTCGCCAAGTTGATCCCAATATGTACAAAGGCAACCTCGAGGCCTGGTCCAAGATTGGCCGAGCGGAAGGTATCCGCGGTATCTTCACTGGCTGGGGTCCCACCCTTTACGGATACTCTGTAAGCAAGTCCCTTTCTTCCCCCTCCCCTCTACTATGTCGACTGTCGCCAGAGCTACAAATCGATTTTAAATCATGAGGTTAGTGGATCCGCCTGATCGTTCGATTATATTAGGCCCAAGGCGCGTTCAAATACGGTGGATATGAGTTCTTCAAGAAATTTTACAGCGACCTTTTGGGAGAGGAAAAAGCTATCCGCTGGAGAACATCAGTATACTTGACTGCCAGTGCGTCTGCAGAGTTTATCGCAGATGTTGCACTTTGTCCATTCGAGGCTGTAAAAGTCCGAATGCAAACTACAATCCCACCTTTTGCGACTCGAACATTTGCTGCAATGTCTCACATCACTGCAAAAGAAGGCGTTGGAGGGTAAATAAATCCTCATATATTTATGAATCCATCGATATGGGAAGGAGAGATAGCTAACATAAGCTCCCATATACAAAGACTGTTTAAGGGGCTGTACCCACTCTGGGGCCGGCAAATTCCGTACACGATGATGAAATTCGCGTCGTTCGAAAGGATTGTGGAAATGATATATAACCGTCTCCCAGGCCAGAAGTCGGATTATAACAAGGGTGCACAAACAGCCGTTGCTTTTACTGGTGGTTACTTAGCTGGTATTCTTTGCGCCATCGTGTCGCATCCGGCAGATGTCATGGTCAGCAAACTTAACGCCAATCGCCTTCCTGGCGAAGCGTTCGGCGCAGCTATGGGCCGAATTTACAAGGAGATTGGATTTATGGGTCTTTGGAACGGTCTGCCCGTGAGAATTGTCATGATTGGCACATTGGTATGCCCCATCATTGTTTTAGTACTAGGATTGTACTGAGCATCTGACTAACTACTTGTGTAGACTGGCCTCCAATGGATGATGTATGCCAACTCTTCTATCGCAGCAAGATTACTTCTTCCCCTCATTACCGAATGGTATAGAATGCTGACAACCTCCCTCTTTTGTACAGTTACGACTCCTTCAAGATTTTCATGGGCCTACCAACAACTGGTGGCCCAGCTCCGGCCAAACAGACCACCTAGATGTCGTGAGATTGTGGATAGAAAGACAGAGGGAGAAGTTTACTGCTCTTGTGATATATTATTGTTCATCCGACTGTAGACGTTCCTTGGTAATATTTGCAATACTTCTTTTATCCTTCTCTTTCTGTTACTCTCTTTATATTTAACCATCGATGGATATATGTATTCAGCACTTTTCTCTCTTTGTATTTTCATTTACAAATTTGTTTGTTGAAAAAGTCACTGTAATCATCACATGAAAACCCCCAAGATTTCATCCCTTCCTGTGCGGTGTCCCCCTTTTATGTTCCGTTTTGGTGGAGATGGATACTGTAAAGGTCGCAGTTATGGTTAGTAGTATTAGATGAAATGCTGGTACAGATGGACTTTAACTGTTGTTTCTTCTCGGTAAGAAATGGATTTGGAACTTCCTGCCACGGCATTTAAGCGTTTTCGTGTAGAGCCACAACTGTTGATTGGGATGATGTCGAAGAGCACAATTACCGATTCATCATTCCAGAGGCACAGCAATATTTTCCCGCTCCGCTGTGACCGTGAGTAAAGGGGGGAAAGAAAGGAATATCTCTTGTAATGTACTTTCTTTCCTAACACGCCCAGCACAGGAAAGATTAGGAGGTTGGCCGAGTTGAACATCGCCGGGTCGTCGGTCCGACAGCCAAGCGGCGCTTCGGGTGTTTCCTCCCCATGCGCCAGACCTCAACGACCTCGCTAGCACGTTACAAAACGCCGAAGAGGATTTGGGGCAGCTGTGGCCTGTCAACCTGTGTCAATTTTCAAGTTCTCGCGGTATGGGTCGCGGCTATCGCCGCCCTAAATCGCCGGTTTCAACAGCGGACAAGATGTTGTCCGGTGTACGCGAGTGTGCGCGAGCGGGTCCGATATGAATGGTGAGAGACTCCAGGTATTACCGTTTCACTTGATTTAGACCGTTGGATCTATGATAAACACCTCAACAATTCTCTCAATAATTCAGATCTATACAAAACCATCCATAGCATACAATGTCATCCAGCCCAATCCCACTGCAACCATTGGGGACCGATAGCCCTCCCTCGAACGCGGCAGTTCAGCGAGACCAAGCATCGACCACGCGTAAAGGTCGGCTAGTGGTATTAATATGCTCCTTTCTTGCTGTCATCATGACCATAGGGCCCAATCTCTCCTACGGGGTTTTCCAAGAGTACTATGTGACGAGCAGTCAATCACTCCTCCCGCCATCGCAGGCGCAAAACAGAGCTTCTGTAGCTCTTGTGGGCACTCTGGGGGCGGGGCTAACATGGGGAGGCTCAATTTTTGTTAACCCATTAATGACGAAGGTCAAAGGGAATTCCAATCGCAAGATTGCAACGGCGGGTTGTGTTTTGATGAGCTTGGCTTATGGTCTTGCCAGCACCAGTAACCAGGTAAATACTATGTTCTCTCCGTTGCTGTAGTAGCATGTATAGAAAAGAGATTATTAGTTCTGTTTGCTAATTTGAACTTCAATGATTGAGGTATGGCAACTTTTATTAACCCAGGGCTTCTTGTATGGAATGGGGAGTTCAATGCTCTACTTCCCGATTCTGAGTGTTGCTCCCGAGTATTTTGACCGCCGCCGCGGCTTAGCCATGGGGTTCATTCTCAGCGGCGCAGGTGTAGGGGGTCTTATAATTTCCCCCATAATTCGCGCTCTCTTGGATTCTGTTGGTGCACGATGGTGTCTACGAATTTTCTCCTTCGCAAACTTGGTAATCACCTTGCCCATTGCCCTTTTTGCTCCTCCGAGCCTCAGTGCTACAAGACGGCCTACTTTGGTCAATATGACCTTGGCCAAAAAACCGGCATTTGTCCTGCAGTCTATTGCTGCATTACTTCAGGCCAGTGGTAACTTTGTGCCAATGACGTTCCTCCCGGAATTCTCCAGCGTCGTTGGCTACTCAGCATCGTTTGGTGCGACGTTGCTGGCAATCAATAACGGTGTGAACTCCGTATCTCGCGTCCTCATGGGCCATACTGCGGATCAGCTTGGTAGACAGAATACACTTGTCCTAGGAGTCATTGGCAGCACGGTTAGTGTGTTGACTTTGTGGCTTTTCGCTGCCGATGACGGCTCAAAGGCGCCATGGATTGCGTTTATTGTACTTTATGGAATACTAGCTGGTAAGAAATCTCTCCTCTCTTATTTCCTTTTTTTTTTTTTGGGGGGGGGGGGGGGGGAGGCTGCTATTCTAGAGCTAACAGATGGGGGTTTCATAGGTGGTGAGTGACAGCCTCTCATACATAACATTGCTCGGATACAAAATCGCTTCCGTCAATTGGTATCCTCTCTGACAATCTTAACTAGTTACTCATTTACTAACCATACGTTCAGGCTACAATGCACTCTTTCCAACAACCATTACGGAACTATTCGGAGTCCAAGCGTATACCTCTGTCAACGGCTTTCTCTACTTCATCCGCGGCTTGGGTGCGTTATTCGGCTCTCCCGTTGGAGGTTTGATTTTAGGAAACTCCAGAGTTCCCACCCCTGGCCAGGACAAATCACAAATCCTTGGTGACTACCGCAAACTTATCTGGTACGACGGTGCGCTCCTCCTAGGCTCGTCGATGTGTGTGATAGGGGTCCGCGGATTTGACGCGCTGGAAAAGCGCAGATGGATTTGGAAGGCTTGATTAGCCAGGGATATTATATCTGGTCATCGTGGGCTAAATTTTTATAATTGCTACGTGAGACTACCTAGAAATATCTTGACTAACCTTTCGGATTTTGCCATACTGCTGACTTGTTAGATCAAAACCGCTTGGATTAACGGGAAATGGGAGAGTTATGTCGGGTAACATTGGACTAGACATCAATCCAGGTCTGGAAATACTTCTCAAATGTCAACATTATGTTTCTTCTCAGTTCAGATTCGTCCTATTTTCTAGACTATCTATTGTGTCATCCAGTGTAAAACCGGAACTATCTAATATCCGAGAATAGACCTCATCACGTCCATCAATTTAGCCTCACACTCATCAATGTTAGCCATGCTCTTATTTGCTCTCCAAGCCACAAATCGATCAGGGCGCACAAGGACAGCACCTGATTCCTCAACTCCTCTCAGTTTCTCCCACTCAAAGTACACATCCTCCCAGTCCGCTCTGAACCCAACTGAGTATGCATTCACTGGGACATTCAAATTCTGAGAGACCTTCTCTGATGCTAGTTTCCAGAAATCGCCTCCAATTCCGGTGAAGAGGGCAAATGCACGATGCCCAGCCAGATCTATGGTAGATATGGGCTTTCCTGGAATAGCACTGTTAAGCCAGGCGTGAGGCAGGCGACAACCAGGATATGTGCTGGGTTCGTGATAGAGAATTTCGTCATCCGCTGCACGGCCAGTTTTCCGATATGGGTGCGGCTCGTCGGCGTCATAGATCGCTGACCCTGTATAATGCTGGCCCATCTCGATTCCCAAACCATGGAATTCGTGACAAGTGTAGTTGATTGCTTCTTGGAACTCACGGCGAGCTTTACTCCCTTCTGGACCTGCGCTTGACAATCGCTTGAGTACCTGTCTTCTAATCTCTACCTCGTCGGGAAGCGTACCCAGTGCGCCCCAAACACGAAAATGTTCACGGAATGCGTCGTTGGCGCGGGTTATGACGGATTCACCAACAGGCTGCCTCTCTACCGAGTAACTGTCGAGCAGGGAGGGTGATGCAAGGCCCTTGTGCACATAGGCAATTTTCCAAGCTAGGTTGAAAGCATCTTGGATACCGGTGTTTGACCCCAGCCCATTGAAAGGTGGGTGGCGATGGACAGCATCACCCAGACAAAATACGTTCCCGTGGGAGTATTTCTCGGCTACGGTCTCATTAATAAACCACTTGGACACATCAATGATCTCTGCTGGCGTGTCGTCGCCAATGAACTCCCGTACTCGTTGCATGTACTGTTCTTTTGTTGGATTTATATCAGGGTCGCAATTGGGGCTCGTAAAAAGGATGAACAGCCATTCGTTCCATGGCTTTACCATGCGTACAACGCCCATCCAGCCAAAATCTGGGTGTGCGCAATCAGGCTGCATCACCCAATGAAGATTTCCATTTCTATGCTCTAGCAGATGGGAGAGGTCGGCTTTAACCAACACATTAATCGCGAGCCCCTGGCCAGGTTTGACTTTCAAGGGGAGATTGAGCTGCTTCACAACCTGGCTACGAGCGCCATCTGCTCCAAACAAGTACTTGGAATGAATTTGATATTCCTGCTTGGATACCTTATCTTGCACTGTTGCAGTAATGAGGCTAGCTTCCTCGTTCTCAACAAAGGACAACAACTTCGTATCAAATCGTACCTTGAAGCCCTTCGAGGTGGCGTGACGGATGAGGATTGGCTCCAGCAATGTTTGTGGGAGGTCAATTGGCCTACAAGGGCTTGCCATCTCATACTCGCCCTGAACTCAGCGTTAGTGAAGTCCTGGCAAGCTCCTAGTTAAAAAAGCAGAAGTGATAGAGCACACCTTTCTTTTCGGATCGTTGCCCCAGGAATATATTCGCGCATATTCTTCACCAGCCATGCTATGACACCATCTGTTGTGGAGCATACACATGTGGTTCTTGACTGCTACCTTGGTCGCCTCTTGGTCTAGGCCAATATCTCGGAGGCATTCTAGCGGTCAACGGGATATGTAAGCTTCTGTGTTTTCCCAAACACTTGACCCGTCGAGGAAGACAAACCGAGAGTGGCCATGTTCGTGATGTGTGCCCTTGGAGTATCAGCTGTTCCGGGAGCGGAACTGACCATAATGCCCTTGCATCCTTCAATTTGTTAGCTGACCTTCGATATAGATGCACCTAACAGTGATATCTCTTTTGTGATGTATGTTTTAAGATGTACCATAAGCACTGAGAAAGCACGCCAACGCTGCCCCGGCGGGCCCTGCTCCGATCACCAAGAAATCTGTTTCGACTGTTCCATTCCTCTTAGAATGGCCCTCATGCTCAGAGAAACCATGCGCCGCACCCTCCATGATATTTTCTAAACTGTTCTAACACTTGGCTTTCCTGTAGCAAAGAATAATCTCAATAGTGCCACTGCTATTTGAATGAAGAATTCAACATCCTGCGGGAATGGATGAAAAAAAATGTCGCAAAGATATTGCATCATTCCATTCACCAGATGTTACAAACTAGTTGCTTCTTATATACATGCCTCTGGACCGACAGTCACTCATAGCGGCCGTCGCCATGCTTATTACGAGGCACGAACAGGAAGAATGCGGTTATTGATCTACGTGGCCGTGACACTCGAACCGGTCGGGCTTCATTATCCATACTCCCTAATAGCATATCTTCTCATCAATCCCAGCAACTTGTGCTTCGGTTGTCATTCTCGTAGTCTCTTGGCGTAAGCCGTAAGCCTTTATTACTGATCTGATGCGCGATGGAGACCAATCAATCTGCATTCCATGATCCACGACATGGAGAAGAAAGAAATATTAACTTCCGAAGCGTACGGAATAGCGCTGAAGGGGTGCTAAACCTCGGTTAAAATTAAGCTGAACCTAATCCTTAGTTCTCACTCCGGAGCCGCTTAAGAAAAGGGGTGGGGAATTGATCAGTCAAGAAAGCCTCTGTAGAGGTAGGTAGTGTCGCTTATTTTGGAGACCGAAGCATTTCATATTTTAGGGGCGGGTCAACAATTCTTCCGAATTTCAGCCTCCTTCCGATGCTAAACTCAATGCTGAAGTTTAGATTTCTGCAAACAAAAATCTTTGATTTTGGATCTGTAGGAAAATTTTCTGAAAAACAATAGCCATAGTTCGAGGAAGGTGTTGAGGGATTATAGACAGGTTAAATATTTCATCAGTCGGGGCTATGGATAAGTGTCGGGATTCCGGGATTATAACTGTCGGAATGGTATCTCGGATGAATATGTCGGAAACATATGAATCTTATGTATATCAAGATCTGCTTCTTATATTATCCGTACACTATCTATTATATCTAATTCCATACAAAAGATAGAGCTATTTATAGTAAAACAAATGTCCGAGCCAAGAGAGCTAGCATTAGCAAGTATTAGACGAGTTTTGTAGTAAGCTGATGATAAGAAAAATAGTAGTAATATGATGTTGGTGGCGTTCATAAGTGTATGACCTCTTATTCCCCGACACACCCCCTTCAGCGAATGTAACATGTAAGAGGAAGTGTAAATGAAGCTGCAAGGAAATAGTCAAAGAAGGAGTGTAGATGAAACATTATTCTGCTTGCGCATTGATGATATCCGATATATCAACTAGGCCTAACATCTTGACGAATTCTGTATGCTTCTGGCGTGGCAGAGCCTTAGTGAGGCCATCCGCTGGCATCTGGGCCGTAGGCACCCAATCAACTGTAATATCGCCGGATTGGACACGTTCTCGGATTCTTCGCGATGTGGGTGTTTTTCGACATCTGCCCAGTGGGATAGGATGACGATATCATCCACGTAGAAGAAGACAATTAATCGATCATTAGAGAAGAGACAGCGATCCTCTGGCATAGAGGTGAAGCCTAGCGTTCTCAGTGTTGATAACAGTAAAAATAGTATTAGGAAATAAATTTTGAGACTTGTAGAAGTCTGAGTGAGAATGAGAATGAGAGAATGCCTCCTTGATCATTTGAAAAGGATTGTTTTTGGCATTTGCAACTGCCACAAGGTGGGCAGCTCTGCGATTTCGGGTTCGTGTATGATTATCTATCGCAGCTGGATGAGTATTAATATCAACATTAACGTTCCGTGTACGATTAGCTATCGCAGCTGGATGAGTATTAATATCAACATTAGGACCCATATCAACATTAGGGCCCGCTGGCCCTGGCGTAGGTTCAGGCGTTGGATTCGGTGTATGAGATCTAACGTGGGGACGTCTAGATATTTGATTTTCTGCACTAGATAGCTGGCAGGGCTTGCAAAGCTTGGTGGTAAGCTCGTCCGCAGCGTTTTCTAGATGGGTGATTTGAACGCCAGTTGCATCATTTGCAAGCTTTTGTATGGCGATTTTTGATGGATGTCCTAATCTCTTATGCCACGTAGACTGAGTAGTGATAGAGATCTTAGGTTTTTGAGAATGTTTTGTGCGTATTGGCAGGTTAGAAGAAGGATTTGTAGAAGTTGAAGAATTTGTACTGCGTAGATATTGATTTTTTAGTGTGTGAGGTGTGGTAGCTGCAGCCGCTTCGGTGGTGGATTTTTCCGATAGAGTTGAAAAAGCAGCTATTTCACTATATTCTGTAACTAGCAACTCCCCAAATACTTCAATGTGTGCAAAGATGGTATTATCTGCGCGTTTTTGCAATCTGAAGTCTTTTCCATCATAATAGATGCCACCTATATGGAAACATGGTTTCCATGTGATGATATTTGTATGGAAATTCGGGATATAAGCTGTGTTGGTGAGGTTGACATTGAACTGCTTTCCTGCTTCATTTATCATGATAGTTCTAACAGTTCCATAACCTTTCTACTTTAGTGCTGGAATCGCCTGTATAGACTTCCGCGTTCTCGTTCGCAGGGGTAAAGGATAGGAAATGTGTTCGATTATTGCATATATGCTGCTCCGCGCCAGTATCAAAGATCCAGGAGTTTTGGAGGTAGGAGCGAGAATTTGAAGAGTTCATCGATATTTTTCGGATCTGCAGATCAATAGATTGAGGATTGATAGATTGGGGATCGGAATCTGATATCTTAATATCTGTAGGTTGCTTCAGAACCATTCCTCCTAGGACTGCTCCATCTATCATATCCGTATTCGCGGATGAATCTCTAGATATCGCACGATCAACCCGTCTCTTCAATTCTTGGTTCTTAAGAGCTTGATCGATTTGAGCTCTTTTCTCCCTGTTTTCCTCCCATCCAGGTGGCTTCCTTGAGGGATTGAGATAGTAGCACTGGGCGTATCGGTGACGGGCTCCGCAGATGCAGTTTCGGAATGTTGCTGATGATGAGGTATTTTGCTGAGGTCTTCCATTAAGGGTAGCAAAGGTCATAGGTTTATCTCCTTTGAGAATACCCATTTCCCTATACCATTCCTTGAAGTCCTTAACTAACTCTATCAAAGATATGACATCTTTGTCACGTCGGACATCCTTAGCCCAAGCTTGTGCATAACCTGCATCAATAGCTAGATTCGCATTTAAGAAGTCTTTCTTCAAATTGAACTGTCCAGCTATATCCGCCTCTTTGATATCATCCTCGATGAGAGACCAGTTGTTTAACCACTTCTCTATACCTCTATTTTTCGGTGCTTTGCAGAGATCGTGATATCGGGTTCTCACATCATCCTGATAGTCCGCAGTTGTGGGGGAGAGTCGATCTCTTTCACATCATCATCCTTGCTGCGTACATGTTGTAACTCCGTGGCATCCACTGTTCTCCATATGACATCTCGTATCTTTGTCATACCTTCATTCATCTTCTCATATTTCATATATTTGATTTTCCACACAGTGACCTTGATGTCATATGCTATCTTGGCCTCCGCGGTGGCTTCTTTTGGACACTCAGGTTCCAGAGGTTCTTCTAGTTCAGAGAAGATATCAGGTTTATCGAGATTGATGAAGTCTGATACCTTCTTGTCCTTTGCATATCCTAGCATATGCCTGTACCAAAGTTTCCAATCTACAGGAACACTAAGGTGAACAGTTGCACTAGTCATTGTCTTGTCTGTCATATCGGTTTATATTTGACGGATTGAGGAATCGGTTCAAGTATTTTGAATGATAGATATGATCGGAATTCGAGGTGTATAACGGACGAGTATTTCGAAACGTATACGGGTGAGGTTCAATCGTCTCAGTTCAAATGATAGTTATCTATTTGAATGAGGATTGGGATCGGTGTTGCGCTTCTATTCAGATGCTGCTTGCCGGGATTTGGTGTATAACGGTCGAGTAGTTCGGAACGTATACGAGTGAGGATCAATCGTCTCAGTTCGAATGATAGTTATCGGGATTCAGTGTATAACGGTCGAGTAGTTCGGAACGTATACGAATGAGGGTACAATCGTCTCAGTTCGAATGATAGTTATCTATTCGAATGAGGATTGGGGTCGGTGTATCGCGCTTCTATTCAGATGCTGCTTACCGGGCTCATAACTGTCGGGATTCCGGGATTATAACTGTCGGAATGGTATCTCGGATGAATATGTCGGAAACATATGAATCTTATGTGTATCAAGATCTGCTTCTTATATTATCCGTACACTATCTATTATATCTAATTCCATACAAAAGTAATATGATGTTGGTGGCGTTCATAAGTGTATGACCTCTTATTTCCCGACAATAAGGGATTACAAGAGGAAGATAACAGGGATCACCAATTGTGATTTTCCAAAAAAAAAAAAAAAAAAAAAAAAAAAAAAAAAAAAAAAAAAAAAAAAAAAAAAAAGAAAAAAAAGAAAGAAAAAAAAGAAAACAATAGTTTAAAAGGGATATATTTTCTCCTAATATTAATTTGAGGTACCAACAAACTCTCTGCTATCCAGTAGCAACTACCTCCTTGCACACACAACAGAAATCGATATAAGCTCACTCGTAGTAATATTTATGAAAGCCCCAATACGACTAAATCTAACCCCTATATCAGCACCATGTTCAGGACGATCTTTAGATTGTGCGTTGCCCCGATTAAGGAACGTCTATCAATTGCCACTGTTCCTCTTTCCAGCGTGGTGTGGGAGAGGCGCGAAATGATTCTCATATTGTTATAAGCAATAACTTCAAGATCAATGCCAAGGCTGAGATTGAATTATGCTTAAAATTAATGTTCTGTGCCAAGTGGAGCAAGGCTCCACTCTCCGCACTGGCCCATGAAGGCTATCTCACCAAGCACGGGCTATTTCTAGATCCGGTATGTACATGTACATGTACTGTATGTTCCAAGAAGGTTAACTGGTCCTCGCGTCATGGATGGACGATATCCAGGTCTGATTGTTGGATGTCAAAAATTGAGGTAATTGTCTGGAGCGCTCTGGTTGGCTGGGAGAAGGAGTCCTTATCTTATCTTCGGTTGTTAGTTATCAGAAAAAAGAGGGAGAGAGAACCTTATCACAACGATAGCTTTGCCATTTTGCCCCATTGTTATAACTAGAGTACATATGTATCTTTGCTAGCTGATGAGAACAAGCGACGTTAGCTCATTTGATAACATGGATGCCTTACCATGGCAGCTGCTACCTTCGAATACCACTTATCGCAACCGCGGTTCTTTCATTGACTGTCACATCTTCTATGTTATTCTAAATTAAATTGGGGTTTGCAATTCGCCCCCCCCCCCCCCGGTGCCGTTCTTTGTTTCACTCTAACCTCACCTCAAAAAAAGCCTTCACTACCACTATTTTCTTGATCATAAGAACAATAGACTGTTCTTGGGAGGAAAACTCTGTATAGAAACTCCTTGCTTTATCTTGTTGAAAATCCACTTTACTCTAAGATTCTCGGAGAGCCCTGCTCACCTCCACGGTTAATTTCGTAGCCCTTCTCCCGCACAAGTGAGTCATAACTAGGAGGAGTAGCAGTAGCACTATAAACTATTACCATTTCGCCCTTACCCATTACTCAGAAGTTCTCTCTAGTTTCGGAGGCCAGCATTATACCTACGTACCACGATTTCACTTTTGGGCCAAGACAGGTTTTGGAGACGCACAGAGGACTCGCTAACTACAGAAGCATTGATTGAATCGACGAAGTTAGACGCGACAAACATGAGTGGACCACCAGTTGTTTCTCATGGCCGAGGAGGTATGACACCTGGGACTGACTGTGGGAGTCATTTGAAACATTATTAATTGACATTCGGGTGCATTAATAGGCCAAGGAAATATCAATCCAGATCCTACCCAGTAAGTAAATCAATATTTATTGTATGGTCCTCTTCAAATGCGATGTTTCTGCAGCAAACTAGGAAAGCACACATTGTCTAACATCCAAAACAGATATGTGGATGCCGAGATCACTCGACAGGGTCCGGAAGGTGATCAGGGCGATGGAGCCTATTCTGCCGGTGTATGTACCGCTTTCTCTACATCTTTGTGTTTCCAATTTCCTTGTATCGGCTTTTCATCTTGCCCAATATAACATTTTCTGGTCGCCCAATTAATCCCCTCTTTCAATAAAGCGCGGTGGAGCAGGTAACATTGGTTCCCCGGGTGTCCGTCCAGTTTCAAGCGAAGTACATGTACATGACACCGATATCGTTCCCGAGCTCGCAATCCTCCCCTCTCAAGATGGTGACTATCATACTGGGGTAAGGTTTATATGATATTCCCCACCTTCCCTGTTACTATGAAGAAACTGAAAGACTGCTTGGAACCAAAAATCTCTAACCTGATCTCTCCTTCTATTGTGAATTGTTCTCTGCACAGCGTGGTGGCCAAGGAAACGTCCATACCCAGGAATCCAAGGCGAGCAGCGGCAAGAAAGGTAGGGAAGAAGAGTTGAAGAAGAAACATGCAGTCGCGGAGGTGGTTGATAAATTGAAGAATAAGTTGTTACGAAAGAAGTGAAGGTCGGTTTGCTGTTTGCTCGCTGAGTTGTTACGATTAGCCATAACTATATGAGGGCGGGAGTAGAAGGGGAACGGGGTGAGCATTCTGTAGCTCATGAGCTGTAAATGGCAAGTTTCCCTCTAGCAAAATTCCTCGTGAAAGCCAGGAAGGAATGTGACAAAAGGGGGGGAAAGTCCATAATTTGTATATCGTTTTTACCCCAAGTCTAACAAACCGTTTAACTATCCGTATCCGATTCGAGTTCTCCGGGGGACGAGAAATTAGAGTATGAGGGAGCATACACAGGTTCCACATAGGGGGAAACAAAAAAATTAATTAGATGAAAACATAAAAAACAAAATAAGATATGTCAAGTGGAGACAAGTATGAAAAGAGAACTCTAGGGATAGTAGCTGTAGAAGCGGTAGCAAACAAGACTGGTATTTATATTTGTATATATATTATTATTTAAAGAAAGCTACATACGGATTGAGAGTTAGCTGAGACAAATCAACAAATTTTGGCTGCGGGGCCTATGTAGCTTCTTTGTGAGATATGAAACAACAAAAATAAACCTTTCTCCGCAAAAAAGGGAGAGAGATATCCGTAGTTTATTGTTAGGGGAATTGTGGAGGTAATCTTGGTTTGGCATCAAAAAATATTGATTTCTGTTATGTTTTGCGTACATTGATTGATTAAAAAAGAACAAAACAAGGTGCTCCCTGCCCACTACCCCTCAACCCCTACAAATAGGGTCTGTCGGCCCCGTTTCGGGTGTTTATACCCATTCAAATTACAAGTGGCGCGAACGCTCCTAGTCCCCCTCCCTGACTTGCTGAGATAAATTGAGAAATAGAACATAACATCTCAAGGAAGAGAAGAGGGAAAACAAGGAGTCAAAATACTGAAAAGAATATTGAACAGATTTTAGACTCGAATTCACAGAGAGTGGGTTATCAAGGAGAGAGCAGGATGGTATAAATTTGGCGGTAGGAAAGCAGGGAGAGGGAAAGCAAAATGAGATCGATAGGCCACGAGAGCAAACTGCAAAACAAAACGCTATAATTGAGAGGAAAGAGAGAACTAAATTGGGTAATCTTGTAGGAGAGTATGTGGTAGTAAGCTTCAAAATGAGATAAATCAAAATAGAAAATAAAAATCGAAAGGGTACCTATGACAAAAGGAACAATCCAAAGGTTCTTGGATAGAGAGTTCAACACGTTCGAGTGGGAATCAAATTCGCACGGATATTGGTAGAAAAAAGAGTCGAGTTGAGGGAAGAAAGATTTGTATGAGTTGAAGGGGGATGATTTCAGAAAATATTCGGTCAAAAATATCAAGGTGATTACTCAGGGAATAGTTTACGAGGCATAGTTTGGGGGGGGAAGGAAAAGAAAAAAGGGGTATAGAAGTTGTAGAAAGCAACAAAAACAGAAAACGAGAATAGGGGGAAAAAATAATGGAGTTACGGAAAGGAGACCTTCGTCGTATTCTGACGTTGGAAATACGCGAGACGCATGAAAACCGTGGAAACATCGTTGAGGACAAATTGCCTAAGATTCCATATTACCTGTCAATTCGGCAACACGAGCCTTAATGCGTGCGACTCGGGATTCGATTGCTAAAAAGGGACAGATTATGATTAGTTCTACTTCGACTGAGGGGAATTTGCCATTGGGGATAACTTACTCTCCTCCCCACTTGTTTCTCCATCATCAGTCTTCTCCGGCTCATGGCTTCTCGACGGGTGGTCATCGACATGGACAGCACGTTCGGCAGCATTTTTCCGGATTTGTGCCCAGCGGTCCTGTAGGGGCAAGGGTTCATCCGAGATTGATTTATCTTGGCGCCCGTGACCATTAATAGGTGATCCGGCCTGTTTGGCAGCTGGGTGTTGGGCAGGAATGTCCCGTTCTGGGAACTCGTTTCTGATTGGTGTATCCTCAGGAACAAATGCAGGCTGGTCAACGAATGGGGCCTGGTGGTCGAAGGAGGAAAATTCCCGGTCGGCTTGGGCCTTCTCGTTGGTGTCCACTCGAGAGAGCGCATCGAATTCACTATCCCTGCGAGTCCACGGTGGGCCATCGTAACCTGTGGCGGCCGGCACTGGTTGCACCACGGGTTGTGGAGCCTGTTTCGGCTCCTCAGTTGCAGGTGGGGTAACTGGCTTGGACATTGTCTGCGCAGGGATTGACTCCGCGGTCTTCTTTCGTCCAAGCCCAGAGAGGCGGTGGGCAGCAGGTGCCTTGGTAGGTGAGAAGGTTGAAGTCTTTGCAGCCTGTGCGGTTCGACCTTCAAGGGCAGCTTTGGCGGCAGCTACAGCAGACGTCTCTACCCCAGTTGGTTTCATGGGAGGCTGCTCCGGCTTCTCAGCCTTCTTACCAAACATACCCTTCAGCGTCGTATTTGCGGCCTTCTTCTTCAGTTTCTTGGGTTCCTCAGTCGAATCCATGGACTTCTTGCTGCGAGTCATTTCTGGGGATTTCCTTCCGACGGAAGCTGGGGCAGTGGGCTCCGCTACAGGAGTAACTACGGGGTGCAAGTCTGACGCAGTGTTTTTGGAAATATCAGATTGCTCGGCAGCGGGGCGCTGATCAGCCGCTTCTTCCTTTGGAGGAACTGCTTGCTCATTATCTAGACGAGGGCTGGTCGAATTAAGAGAGCTAGCTTGGACGTGGCCATTTGCTGGCAATTGCAGTGACTCTGCAGGAGCACCCGTACCAGCAAGACTGTTTCCAAGATAAGCCGCTCGCACTGCATTTTTATCGTAGTTGTTAGCCCACTTCATCGCCTGTGAGACTTCAGTCATAACAAGCGGCTGCAGCGACATCACGGAGTTGTTCTTTGAATGTCCCAAGTCTTCCGACCTGTTGCGTTTTTCTGACGCTTGCTCCTGCTCCTGTTCCCTGTGCTTCCTCTGAAGAGCGGCAGCGGCAGCCTGGATCCTAGCGTGCTGGTCTGGGCCAATGCTCGTCTTGCTCATTGCTCTTGTGCTGTTGGCCCGTTGGTAGGGTTCTTCTGCAGTGGATATCTTCTTTACGGAAGATTTGCGTCGTGTTAACCGTCCTTTTCGTGACCTGAAGCCGAAGAAGCTTTTTTTCTCAGCGATATATGCACCAACTTCTGGCTCAGGAGCAGCACCCTTCACTTGTTCCTCAAGCACAAACCACTTCCCTCCTGAGATGGATGTTTCAATCAGAGCACACCGCCCAAAAACTGCCTTTCTTTGAGTTGGTTCCTCCCCTGACAGACTGCTAATCCAGACCCACCAGAACGACGCATCCAAGTCAAGATTGGTTATGCTTGCAAGTTCGCCCGGTTCAGCGGATGATTCCTGGTCGAACAAACGTTTATGCGATTGGGAACTTTGCCCGCGCACGGTTTGAATGGGGGGAAGGACTTTGTCGGGGGGTAGGAGGAAAGGCGGACGACTTCTTGGCTCATTTTCGTCAGCAAATCCAGAGGAAAGGAAATCAGCCCAGGAAGGTGTGGTCGGTCGACCAAGATCAGCAGTGCGAGAGTGAGGAGCCGACCTCAGACCCAGTGGTCCGGTTTGTTTCGACACTGTTCTATCTCCATCCTCGTCACCATCACCCTCTTCGATAGTGTCGGTGAAACCCAGATCCTCAAATCTTGACCAGGATGGATCACGAATAGGGCCTGGGCCCTCTTCTGCTGCTATAACATTGGATTGGTTGGTTGAGGATATGCATCGCAAAACTCTACGGCACTCGTCAGTAAGTGCTCTGACAGGATCTTCGAAATTCGAGAACTTCTGTAGGGCGTGATCGCTATCCCTATATTCGAAATTCTTGGCACGTCGTAGTAATGCAAATGGTGTCGGGGAGACAGTGTCAACGATCATTACCACCTTAGTCGATTCCATCTGAAGCAGGGCGGGGGTTTCTGGGGGGTATTCTGTGGCTTGAACAAGGCTTTGCAACGAGATCGGAAGGGCAGAAATGCCATTGGATCCGCGAAGGGAATCAGGAGATAGAGAACGAAGGTAAGCAAAGAATAAGTGGCTTGTCGCATCCGCCGCACTATGCAGAAAGCAAAAAAGAAGCCGTTAGCCAAATACATCGAAAGTAGTAGGAGCCTCGTGTACAATCTGTTTCAATTACCTTGCCCAGTTCTTATAGCTTGATTCAAATCCATTGCCAGTATCAACGTGCTCGAAAGCCCACCAACCAGCATAGCGCGAAAGTTTGCGGCCTCCAAATCCGTTGGTTTTTCCGTGAGCTGCAACAGCAGACATGAGGTCGAAGAAGTCGAATATAATTTTTGTTCGAGCATCAGATTCAACACTTAAAGGGATAAAGGTGGAAAAGGCGTCGCGGGCAAATTGGGAGTCTATACAAATAAGTCAGTTTAACCTAGCCCTGAGACGGTGCCATAGTAGGCAAATTCAAGGGTAGATGGCGGAAAAGGAATGACCTTGTTCGCCAACTTTGAACAATTCGTATGCCTCCCAGGTTACCACCCCTCCAGGCAATCGACTCCAACACCATTTCATAATACTGCAGAGCACCTAGAGGTATTCGAAGATATCAAATCAGTTCTCTCCTCCACGTGCATTCTGAGGGAATATCACGCACCATAGGTTCAGTCAACCGCAGCTCCTGGAGTAAATGTTCTCCACGAAGTGGAGCTGGCCGCTCAGGAGGAGGGCTGAAGTAGTGTCGAATGAAGGTTCGGGCTGAACTTGGGTCCGAGCTGGGGCGAAATGGGAGGAGGAGGAATGGAATTTCGAGTCCTGGGAAGCAATGTAGATGAGCATTTTTGACCGAGTTTAAATTGCATTCTTCATTGAACTGTGCATGTGTATATACGGACCTCTTGATTTCAATTCGACCGTGCATCCATGTAGCAGCTCTTGGATCTCATCTGGGGTTACTTCCGTACGGAGGAAAGCATCGGTCCATTGGGGCTTCTGAGGGATATCCTGACTGACGCCATTGTGCTTTGCCTGTTTCTTCGAGCCGCTCGCATCTCTGCTACGGAAAACCCGCGAAAAGAATGACATCTTACGCAGGAGCCGTTGACAATGCTAGATGGGTAGGTATTCGGTCGGTAGATTGGTATTGCGAGGTCAGGTAAAATCGCAAGGACGAAAGCTCTGTGCGACTTTGAAGCCCAGGGGTCCTAGATTCCCACAGGTACCACCAAGCAAGGTAGATTGTGGTTGAAAAGTGTTGCGACCAGGGTTGATCAACGCTCCCTAGAGTCTCATCAAGCAACAATGGTTTGAAGACCAAAGGCCTGTCTTGAAGGCGTAAACTACAAGTAGGGAGGCTGCGAAAGGAATAAAAAAGAAAGATCAAAAAGTAACGAAAATATGTCGGAGAGGTCGTGAGAGAAGTTCGAAAGGCGGAAAAAAAAAGATGGCGAGAGGTGCGAGTTTCAGGGGTAGGGTAGGCTCAACGGCGTAGAGAAAGCTTGACTAATGAGGCACTGAACTTTTGAGGAGAGGCTCACTATAGGTCAGCCACGGTCACCAACCGACAGAAGAATAAGAATATTGAGAAGAGAGAGCATGTTAAGAAGGCTATCTTGCTCCATACCTTGAGGTAGTCATGTGCTGACAATAAAAATTGCAGGCGAACAAGTGGGTATGCAGTGGGTTGTATGGCCTCAACAGCAGCCGTTTCAGGTGGAATAGTTTTCGTCTCTAAGTGCCTATGCAGCGAATAGGAAGAAGAAAAGAAGGGGGAAAGAAAACAAAAATAAAGGTGACCAGCATGCAGAGAAGTAGAAGAGGGATAGAGGGATCAATGAGGAGTAAGTAAGGAGCGTGTTCAGGGGACTGTGGAAGCACCCAGTGAAAAGGTCGAGAAGAATGCGGCTCCCGATGGACTTCCAGTCGGAATGGAAAGAAACGAAAGCGAAGACAGAAGACAGACCAACCGACTCTGGCTAGGGGGACACACGGGAGAAGAGAGAAGAGGAGAGAGAAAGGAAAAGCGAGATACGAAGACAAGGAGAGCAAGGGATGGGGAAGAGAGGGAGAGAGAGAGAGAGAAAGAGAGGGAGAGAGAGAGAGAGAGAGAGAGATGGAGGGTGAGTTGTGGGAGAGAGAGAGAAAACGCAGCCAGCGGAAACACGTTGATGTGGAAAAAATAAACAAGACGGCGCTGGGCTGGGCTTGGCCCGGGCGCGTGTGTGTCTGCCCGGCGTGTTTGGTTCAGGGGCTCTCCCGCCACGGCCCGCTACCTCTACTACCACGCCCGGGCAGCCATTCAACGGCCTTGACAGCCAAATCAAGTCTGCTCAGGACTCGAGAGTCGAGAGCGAGCGTTGAGCAGCTCTGGTCGGGTCCGGGAGACTGGTGGGGACTCTGGGAACTCTGGGGACTCTGGGGAATCATGCCTCCAGCTGCTCAAAATCTACTACGATTCAGGTATGTTATCCCATTGGTTGAATATCTACTCCAATGCCAGCCTCTCCTCTCTATTCAACGCCGTACGCCACACAGAGTATGTTGTCCCCACCCCCAGTTTTACCCCCTTTTTATTTTCTTGCACATGGGTTGCGCTAAAAGCAGAGATTTCTCTCTCCGGGTGCTAAGTCATGAGGATCTAATTTGTCATGTCCAGACATATGCATGTAGATAAAGCTTGGAATGCTTGTCTATATCACTAACATCCCTACCGGGTATATATCTAACCATCCAGGCACATCACCTCAAATTCATTTTCAGCCTACCTCCCACATGTCTCTATCTGTAACCGTTGACAGCGATCAGGGCCCTTTACATACCCCTGAATCCAATTAATACTGTTTAAAGATGTCTGTGTCACCACCTCCCTGCTCAGCAGTACGATCCTCACACAGGTTGCAAGGGCCAACCTACACCTAGGCAAGAAACGGAACAAGAAGATGGAGTCAGAGGCCGGGTATGCATGCAAATCCAACTCTACCACCAGGGTCAGATCCTCCATTCCCATATTCCCGGAACCGAGGAGTCTCCCTGCATACGGAACACTCACCAGTCAAGCCTAGAGGCCGACGGCGCCCGTAAATTAATTTGGCTAGAGCTGGGTAGAAAACGCTCCGGCCAGGACGGCGTTACCTGCCGGTGCATGCCCGAAGACGGACGGATTCATCTTTAGGGGGACTCAAGGAAGCTTTCTCCTCCATCGCTTGGCCCACGCTGGACCCTGGCTAAGGCGGTTGAGCACCATAGAACTATGTAACATGCGTTGAATGCCGTGTATCCCAATGGTACGGGCCCGAAATCTTAACCTCTCGGGCCGCCTCCGAGAAATATTTACATTATACGGTACCCATTAACGAACCGATCAATTAATGTTTGTATTCCTTGGATCGAACGAAAGTTTAAAAATTAAAACAAAAATAACGAGGAAAAAGAAGACAATCCAAACCAATTCCCAAAAACCGCCGGAAGAAGAAAATAACCAACTAAAATACGCCCAATTGAGCCAGCAGCCAGTAGGGGATCAGCGCGTCATGGCAAATTTTCTCAGCCTGTCGTCTTAATGTAGCGTGGGCGTGCCTCGAAAAAAACCAAACGAACTCTCCTTCGACAAGCCTCAGGCTATGACGGGGATCGGCTCCAGAGGAGACTCCACCGGTTGTTGTTGTGACTGGCCAACTTGCTTGACCTTGCATGGTACACTGGTTCTGTTGAAATCACAGATAGCTCTATATATATACATATCTTTGGCCACCCTTTCGACTCCCTTTCCATTGCCTATTCATTTATTTTTTTCAGCCTTTTCATGCAATTAATTGACTTTCACACCGACCAGCTCCATGCTCTCAACGACCAGATGCTCCCCACGCTGTATACAGGAGTGCACCACGCCATGGGTTGCCCATACTCAGCGCGCCACATCCGACAATTTCTCCCAAGATGCGTGTGATCCTGAACAAAATGAAGCAAACAAGAACATCCATATATCTAGAAAGGGGAGAAAAAATAATTTGCAAAGGAAAGAAGAGTATTCTGAACCGTGAACCATTTGGCAAAGCCATGCCTTCAGGAGTAGTATCATCATTCAGGCCAACGCTGCCAGAATCTACCTCCTCATCATGCCAGACTTTCAGAAAGAAACTTCACACTGCCCCTCCTGCTCTCTCCAAACAACGCGCTCTAAAATTCTTTACCTTTCATGGTTATGCCTGACTTCTTTGCTAGAGATGCATCAAATCAGGCAGAAATATCAATCACAATCACACAGCAAACAAGCAAACCTACTACATGATAACTACTACAGAAAGATAGTTCCTATTCCACAATCCCGGGTCCAGGGGAGATGAATGGGCTACATACTGTGCCTAAATAGCGCTCCGATTGTGTATGTACCCCGTTTCATATAACTTCGAGTTGCAATAATAGCGAACCTACCTAGCTAGCTAGTTACGAAATTTTTCATTCTCGATTCAATAAATTTATATCTACACCAGCTAGTGATGTAGCTTTCCCTTGGAAAGTGGATGAATACAGTGCAGTGCATTCAAAACTAGACTGGGAACAGAACTTGATGTTTTAGAAAGAGGGAAAAGAGAACAGAAACGAAAAGACAGAAAAGGAGTGTCTCAGATTAATTAAATCAGGGGTTTTCTTTCACATCGGCAGCTGCAATGCATACTGTTTTGCAAAATCGTCTTGCGGTCTTGCGTACTCAAAGGGGGTTGAGTTAGAGAGTTAAGTTTGTGTAATAATTAGGCTAATAATAATATGCATGAAGAAGTGAAAAATTTACCAGAAATTTTTTATGCTTAGAAAAAATTTTTCTTATCAATATACGGAGTATATACTCTGTATATTATTTCTATTTTCACCTTCTTTCTCAATTCTAGCTTGTGCTGGCATCATGAGAATTAATTCAATCTGATCAAAAAAGAAAATAGTTCACAAGTAACTAACTTAACAGAAAGTTCTTTACAAAACAGGAGGGAAAAAAATATGTGTATAGAGAGAGAATCTCACTTATTTACTCAACTCAGCTATTCATCTATTCATCTATAAATAATTAGTTATAATTTTCCACATGGTTTATGCATGCCTCACATTTGAGACACATGAATACAACGTTTTTTTTTTTTCCCTTTTTCTCCTTTGTCTGTTCTCATTTATTACTAAGGGGAATCATTATTTAAATCATATGAATGTCAATAACAAGCCAGGTGTTCTGCGTACTGTGTATCTGCAATATGCCGTTGTTCGATCAGCTCACCCTCGAGAATATCAATCAGGTCATTTAGAGAAGAATGAGCGGGTACATACATTCAGATCAGATGCGGTTGCCATTCTGATTGAAATTGTTTCAAAGGGGTGATGTGAGATAAGAGATGGCATATATTGTTCAAATATACATTCTCTTCCTCGCTCTTCTCTACTTCTCTAAATGATTATTAGTTCAATTCAGTAAATTTGCTATTTTGAAGCTTCTTGAGAATTAATTAATTCTTTTTCTTTTTCTTTCTTTTTTCATTTCTAGCTCAGTTTTGTCAAGAACATAGAACTACCTCCTGAAACATTCTTTCAAAAGCAGATCTAATTTGTTAATTTGTTTTATCCCTCTAGTAGTTTCAGTTGTTCTAAGAAGCATGTTATATACATACATGCAATTCAGTGCCACTAGAGCTACAGTGACTTTACCATTTAAAATTGTTGAAGAGAGACTAGGTAGTTAGGCGTGATGACGGCGTAGACTGTAGGGAGAATGGATGGCGTTTTGTATATTCCTTTTGTCACTTTAACCGCCCATTATTCCGGATATGCCTCGAGTATGAATCGAGATAACAAAGGCCACGGTAGCGATGTACAGGCGCGTAGCGGGAAAGTTCAAAAGTTCATAAAACAAATTGAAAAGCTGATATATGCTCTGAAGGCCATGCAAATAGTGAGTTCTTCGATAAAATGATCGCATCATCATGTCAGCTAGATATATATTCTTCTGCTGTGCTTTGAAAGTAAGTGAATAGGGACAACAAATATAACCGGTACTTTCTTCCCGTGCTTTTCATAGTATTCATGCTTGCATCATGCCTGATAGAGCTATATTGTCTAGCCTCACTTTTTCTAGTTTTTTTCATGAATTCCAGCTGGGAGATAGCCGGAAGAATAGAAGCTCACACACGTCATTCCAAACAAGATCTAAATCCGCATCACCCCCACAGACGAGGGTCTTTGCATGAATAAGTCATACTTTATCCAAATACGCGGAGGTTCTCAACTGTGAAGGCTAAACAACCTAATCATAATTTTGGAAGAACTGTACGATTTCCTCCTCGATTTCCTCTGAGAAACTCAGAGTCAACCTTATTACCTGCGATGGATCAGAAAGTAGCACCATCAGTGGTAAACATCATTGTATACATTCGTTTGCGAGTGCGAGCTCCCAACACAGCCGGTCCCGGAGCCATCTACGGTTAATCACTCAAACGAATCCGAGACCTGCTCTGTTTGCTGCACAGAGTTAGGCACAGCAATATTCGGACTTCAAAATCATGGGTCAGCTAGATTCCAGTCATGGAAAAGATTCTCTAGGTGTTGAACTTGATCTTACATGGCATGTGAACATTCTTGGTGAATCTGAACAAACATGCACCAAATATTGCTTCACACACTTCTTGCATGGATAATTCTGGCCAATGTTGCAATCTACAAGAATAATATGTCAGTGGCTGGTTCTTTTCACGACGAAGAAAGAAGTGGTCAAATATACCACTTCAAATATTTACCTTCTCAGGTGTATATGATATGATATGGGAGACAATTGAGATGTATCCCCTCAACAACTCAAGGCCTTGGTCTGGTATGTACATTATCTCCAGACAGGCAGTTCATGATTTTAAAAGCCTAAAAGCTCTGTGGTTGTGCTCCCAATCTTCTTACCCTATTATCAGGGACTACCTACCCTCGGCTCAATGCTTTTGGCGCCTGTTCTCGATCCAAGAGTGAATTCCACAACCCATGGAGAATAGTTGCTCAAACTATTGAGGCTAATTTCCAAGTCGCCCAGGAAGGTTCAAGATGGAACATGGATTGAGAAGCCAATTGTTTGAGGATTCAGGAAATTGGCTATAGTATATCTACATTAGCGTTGTCAAGGGTTGATATCAAAAGCAGTCGAGTCAAACGCAACAGTGGTTGATATCAAGCCCTGTTCTGAGAGAGGAGAGGTTGCTATAAATGTGACAACTTGCCTAGTTACTAGTATCTCCCGCCGGTTCACGTTCACTCTTTCAATTTCACTGATGATTCTGTAAGTGATGCAAGAGAGAATGTCAACTGAAGAGGTGAAATTGCCCTACCATACTTTTATTTATTTATTTATTATGATTTTCATTACCTGTACGGCTTACATTTAGAAGAACAATAATAAAAAAAATAAATAGAAATTAAATAAATAAAAATAGATAAGAGGCACTTGATATTTATTCACCTTGTTTTGAAACCACAAAAGCCCTATTGTCCAAGCAATTTAGCTGAACCTTTTGCTCACATCGACTCGACTCATAGCCGCGTCGGTCTAGTTGGGGCAGGATAAACCGAACTAGAATTGAATTTTGCCCAGGATGCAGTGTGGTTTGTCATAGTGGTATTTGCAATGCCAGTGCCGTTCAACAGAGGATATTTAGCCTTTGGGCCTCCGGGTGCGTTAAAGCCAGGGTCTATTATCCAGCGAGCGCAATCAGTCGTTAATACACCACCGTATTTGAAACTTGTCCCCCTGGTATCACACTCATCAACAGGTTGTCTGAACGAGTGACCGCACAAATCTCCTGGGCTTCCCCCATCGAGTTCGAATGGGTCACAGTCATTGATTAACTCCACGGAAATGTTGACCTCAACAAAACATGCCCCAGGACCGAAACACCTCGAGCCATAGTAGTCTATAATTTTACCGTCTTCCTTTCTAATCATCCGACCCTTGTTTTCATTACAAAAGCTTTCTATCGCACGGATCATATCCGCGCGATGAGAAGTGCTGCCCGAGCCAAAACATTTTAACTCTGCGGGGGGGGGAGATTTCTTTGGTTTCGCGGTAGTTGTTGGTGTGGCTACCTCTGGAATATAGAACATTCGGGTGGCATCTCGGCTGTGTATTTTATACACAAGATATTGTGCCAGGGCCATATAATGTTCATTGGTGTCTGGTGGTGTCATTGTTACCCCCACGCCGGTATATACGGGAAGCTTTGCCATGGTAGTTGTGGTAGTGATAGTTGTGGGTTGGACGGAGCATGCAGTGACCGTGTGGCACCTGGTGTTGGTGGTGGTAAAGTACTCAGTTTTGTCCGATCTTGTCTGGATCTTGGAAACAAGTTCTGTACATCGACGAGCGGTTCTCGCTTCGTCACAACCGCCCTTTCCTGTCTCACATTTCGATCCAGTGCAGAATCCCGACTGGCAGCCCTCTCCTTCGCACGTAAGGGGCCAGCATCTTGGACCCTTGCAACTCCCATTATCGCAATCGGGCCCATCACAGCCAAAGCCAATACATTTCGGACCAAAGCATCGGCCTGTTCTGCCGTTGCAGTGCAACCCGAGACACCCACTGGGTTTACATCCGTCACCACTACAGCCATCAAGTTTTGGAATGCACTTGAGCCCACCGCACCAAGTGATGACGCACTTAGGACCCCAGCACATACCGTCGAGGCAATCAAGCCCGATGCAGCCGAAATTGATACATAATAAGCCCGTGCACTTGCCATTCTTGCAGTCTGGGCCTCTGCACTTTTGAGTATTTTTAGGTTTTGTCCTTTCATTCTCGGAAAAGAAGTCTTCTCCATCGCCGCAGTTGTGCTCACAGGGTTCATCGCAAAATGGGCCTTCACACTTCTTTCCACAATTTGCTGTGCAGAGTGGATCAGGGGGGCCTTTAGTAAAGGTAACAACGGGCAATATTATCTTGTTGTCGTCATCGTCATCATCGTCGTTGTCCTCCTCGGTACCTGTGGTGTAAGGAAACGGTGGCGGAGTAATTGTCCGGGTAGTCATAGGTGAGTTTGTTGTGCTAGCAGGAAAATGGGAATTAAGTATCGAATCACCGCTGACAACTGTTATTACATGGTCATTTTCATGCCCTTTAGTTGTCCGGCCGTGGCGGCTGTCATCAAATCCACGTGTTGGCCGTCCTGTATCTGCTGTTGCCGGCTGAGAATTTTTCCCTCTATTCGGGTTCCCCTTTTTACCATCAAGCGAATTAATTCCTCTGCCAGCCCCGGTGGGATCGGGTGCAGCCGATTCTGGCGCCGAATGTCCTGTCCCGCCGGTTGCCTCGGGGGGATTACTCTGCCTATCGTGCCCAGAGATATCGTGATCATCAGATCCGGATTTCGAATCACTCCCGTTACTGATTATCACCCCAGGGTTCCCATCGCCCGGCGTTGGTTTCGGAGGATTGCCCTGCACCCAGCCTTCCGGAAGTTTCTCCGTAATAACAAACGGAGGGGGAAGGATGCTGCTTATGGGAGTATATCTGGAACTTGAGGCATCGGGATCGGTAACCTTCCAATTCCATAGGCTGATCTCTGAGGTCGTAATAGGAGGGATCGTAAGTGTCGTCGTTTGGATTGTCCTTGCTAGGCCAGTGGAAGTTAATACCGAACCTCCGGGAAGCGTAACCAACTGTGTGGTTGGCCATGCCACTTCCAAAGATGTTGTATATAGAGGAAGGGTGATTGTAGAGGGACTAGCCAGAGAGATTGGAGGCATAATAAAGGTACACGGGGGCACACATGCGATGCGCGGATCTTTTTTCTTGAAAATCTCTGGAGAGATATAGACTTCGCTAGAACCGCCATCTCCACCCTGCGGGTCGGCCCCGCGGAGAGTATCGTCGGCGGTCAAATCATTAGGATTCTTCAGTGTGCCAGGGCCTCCAAGATCAATGGCCCAGGCGAAGGTGCCCGCCAAGCACAACTTGTTTCCGAAATCTGCCTTCTGCTTCAATGTTCTGCCATCGTCGTATGAAACCCTGTACACGGCTCATAATTAGCCCAGTGGGCCGTCAAGGGCAGAAAGTAGAGAAGGAAGCAGAATAGGATAGATTATAAAGCAAGGGGATCTGCGTGTGAGTGAACGGGGAGGGCAAAGGTACGGTAGATCCATACCACTGATCATTATCCCACGTAATCCAATTGACTCCAGATTCTTGGTCATAGAAAACGTCTGGGGATTTCTCCTTCAGAACCCTATCGATTTCATAGTCTGACAGCGTACCGCTGTTCAGAGTACATAATCCTGGCAAAGCGCCCCCGGATGTCTCGTCACCAAACCTTTTAAAAGGGCAACCCGGAGTAGAGCAACTAGGATCCGCCAGTGTGAATGACCTGCCGTAAAATGCAAGACCCAGAGAAACCTTTTCGGGAGGGACAGAATTGCGCCATAAAAGATCTAGTCCTAACGATATTTCTACTGATTGTTAGCTACAGTACATATAACCTTGCATATTTAGGTGGGGTGCTTACCAGTCAGGTTTGTATGAGGGTTGATGACTTCCTGCGTCCATTTGTTGTTGCCATCCCAGGTGCCGTGGATGTCATATGTCATCACATTAAACCAGTCGACATATTTTGACATGCGTTTAAGATCAAATCCTCTCAAGTACCCTACCTCTATCTATTAGACGGGGTCGCGATTTTAACATATAGTAGGATCAGATACTTACAATACGAAGCCGGAAGTGCCACGGTTATCTCGTACTTGTCCTCGGCAGCAGCCCTCAGCTCCTTTAGAAGTTGGACATATGTTTTAAAATCTTCTTTTGAGCCACCTGTGCAAAAAGTATTAAACTATTTAGTAGATAGTAAAGGGTTTTTGTTTTCCTTACCCCGATCATCAGCTACTGGGTATTCCCAGTCGATATCAACTCCATCGAAGCCGTATTCCTCCATGAACTCAATAACCGAGTCAATAAACGCCTTTCGCGAACCCTCGCTTTTCGCCATATCAGAAAAGATCTTGCTACCGGCATCCCATCCCCCAATGGATATAAAGCATTTCAAAGAGGGCTTTTGTTTTTTTAAGTCTGTAAAAAGGTGGTAGAATTCTTTGTCATAGGAGTGCATTGTAGTTAGCGTGTAGTCCTCTTGGTTGATCTGAGCAAACCCATAATTAAGATGCTGCGAAAAGTAGTCAGTTGTCCATTTCCGCAGACAGTAGCGTGATAGAATGAAATAATATTTTCTCACTGTCCAAGGCTTGGTATTGATTTTTGACGGATGGAGCATATCACAAATACGATCATAGTTCCAACTCTCGAAATAGCCGATATATCGCGCCCTTGTAGAGGTTCCCGAGCATGAACTGTAGATTGAATTAGTAAGACTGATTTACAACATGAAGTAGGATAGCTGACTGCCATAGAGAATAACTGACGGCCTTTTTATTTCGCCGCACCCATTCTGACATCCCTTCCCGCAGAAACTTTCAGTGGGACCGCAGAAACTTTCAGGCGTGCTATTAGCGACAGTGTTCAGTAGTATCGGAGCATATGGAATCTTAACTATCTCACCCAAACCGTGAGCAACAAACATTGAGAGGACATTTTTCTTGTCCCTTGGGTGCGTATTCTGTGAAGAATTATAAAAGTTAACAAACCGTGTGCCTCAACTCAATCCTCAAGACAAGATGCGATAAAAATATCCGAGCCGAGCATGAGCTCGAACTTGGTTTCAAAGGTAGCCCATCTCAAAATTATGCCACACGGGGACTCAGCAACTTACTGCCACATTCCGACTTAGCATCGCACGTCGACACACATGTCTTTGGGGAACAAAATTCAGGTCCGAACCCGCAACTCCCGTATTTACTACAGCAGCCTTGTTTGCACGGTCGAGACTCTGAACAGGTAGCATCCGAAGCGGCCGAAGCGAGAAAAGGAGCAAGGCTTGCCAACCCTAGAACGGCGATGATGCTCAGGGACTTCATGATCTGGAACAACGTTGAGCTACTGAACTTCTTAACAACTGCGAGTAGTTTGAACTAACTCAGCGAATCTCACCCCAATCAGCGGCAGTCGACATGGCTGAAGCAGAGTCGGAACCCCTGGCTATAATATATACATATATTTGCATCCCATGCCTGCTTCGGGTTATCCGCTGGAACATAGCCGTGCAAAATCCGATATAGGAGTCATTAAACTCATACAAAGCTTCTCATTGAGGCATGCACAGAAAAGTCAACGCATCAGAAGGCCCAGGATTCGGGACAAACCAGAATCGCGGCGTCATATTAAAAGAGATCCAACTACAACAGATTGCTTGCAGCTCACTGGCACTTGTACATACATGTATGTACATTAGGAGAATAGCTTGAACTCTGACAAAGAATCGCTCGCATGAGATTTCTGGTGGCGGAGATCCTTGGCGGAAGTCCTTGGCGCCAAGTCATATATATTCACTTCTTGATGCTCCCGATTTGTGCAGCTCACCAAACCGCCTACAATCTCATGTATGTACAATGTACATGTAGATGTATTTGTCGTTACCTTCATTATTTAATTACAGGAACGGACGCCATTGCAATTTATCAAATCCTCCTGCAAGGCAACATCCAGCATTCCAACATCCGCACAACCTGCCAGCTACGTCTTGCATCGCAGCTGAATTCATGATCAATTTCATGCTGACTTTCCTTGATCCATGCGCTGTGGAATAGTTAACTGCCTAATGACTACTAGAATAAAAAGATTGCTAGTTAGAGGCGTGTACCTGAGGATGGTGTGGCCACTACGACAATGTAAAAAAGCATGTCCTCAGTCAGTGAACTTATATATAGTTATCAACTATTTCACTCTTTCACTTCTTTAACCCGCTCTTCCATACATATCTCTCTCTCAGTTTCCCTTCCTTCTGTTCCAGTTTGGAGATATCTATCTGCTTCTCGTGGGAGCGGAGTCCTACGAACTTTCTCAAGCATGATACAAATTAAACACATGCTTTTACTTGTTATTTTCCTATATAAACTGCGCTTCTCCTATTCTTATAGGACACGCAGTAATAATTGTGAATATCCTGGACAAAAAAACGTTCTCTACAGGCGAATTGAACAAGGAAGTATGAGTCAATTGGTATGGATTGATGTGGAAATTATCGCAAACACACATCTAACATTCAGCGCAGGTAAGGGTCGCACAGAACAGATTGAGAGATCTTAATACGCTTCTAGACACTTGGTACGGCCACGACGATCTAATTCCGGGCGTTGAGCGGTCCACCCAATACACATACGAGGCACTCTTTGGAACAGTTTATGTGGGAAATACGGGCGCTGAATATTTTTTTCAGAATTTGGCAATGCGCTACAGGTTTGACTATGTACGAAGTATGTATGAAGTAACTTGAATCATATTCCCCCTTTTATGCAATTTGTCTGACAATTCTCCAGGAAGGCTGGACAAGCTTCAAGAAATTATCATGGGGGACGAACCTCTACAAATATACTGTTCCGATGACTTCATTACAACAACTTTCCCCCCTCAATATAGCGGTGAGTCTGCCATTTATATATTCTTCCTTTACATAAAATTGTGTTGTCTATACTATTCCTGAGACAAAGGCTGATCTTTGCCCATCAGATATTCACTACCCGCCAGGCACCTACTGGGACAGCCGTAAGGCTGTAAGTGGTGGGTCGGTCCCTATTTTTCTGCCTTCATATGCGAAATGCAGTCAAGATCCACTGGCCGGCAGCAGAGCGTTTATGAGCGAGATACATCGATCACATGTATCAGCCGGCACTATGATCCTATGTCCCCAGAACTTCATAGAGCCTGATACCACGCCGGATATGCTGCGCATGAGGCGGCTGTCGGAGCTTCGACGCGTGTCATTCTATGATAGAGATGAACCCTTCCATCTAGAGCGCATTACGTATCGAAATGTCATTTTCATATTCCTTTGCCTGCTAGGCCAGCTTCCAATGTCAGGGAATGAACCGATGGGTACGGCCCCTCTGCCTTTCCTCCCAATGACAAATGGGAGTCTTGTCCCCCCATGAACTGATATTTACCCGTTATTCTTTTACAAAACAAAACAGATCCCTTTAAGCACCCACCTGTTGCTGGCCGCGATGTTAGCGGTTGGGAAGCCGCCACGATGACCGCGCTAACTCATCCGGACAAAGCATTAGATAACCCAGGTAAGTCTTGAAGTCGAGAAAATGGAAATGGAACTCTGATTAAACATCTTTTCACTGGCACTAACTTCTTTTCTTTCAACTCAACAGAAAGTTACGCCTTTCTAATATTTGGTAAGCCCATAATCCAGTCGGGATTTTTTTCCCCCCCGCCCCCCCCCCCCCCCTCCTTCTTTTTCCTTTTGAGATTGAATGTCAAACTAAATGTTTGTAGCTCTCTACCTTGACGCCGATGACTGGAGTATTGGCATTTCTGTGCCCATGCTGCCAAGCGAGCATGGAATTACCCACTTTTACTACTCTATAGATACGACGCTCGAGAAGCTGGTGCGGGATGGGAACGGTCCAGATGAGGCGCCGCCAATGGATTGGATAGTGGATTAACGAGAACGAGAAGCTAGGCTGTGGTCGGGAGCTTGCAGTAAACTCGATATATATACAATACGCCTTAAAAAAACGTCTATCTGATCACCGGGTGTTGACGATCGTGATAAGGAAAATTCGAAGAATGGGGGGTTCTCATGCAACCTGGGGAAGTTGAGATAGGAAATTTTTTTAAGGGGGGCTTGATGTTTCGCGCCATTATAAAAACTCAACTTTCCCTTTCAACCCTTGACTTTTTTTTTTTTTTTTTTTTTTTTTTTTTTTTTTTTTTTTTTCCCTTGTTCTTTCATTTTTTTTTCTATTTTGTTATTTTTCTGACAGTACGGAGTATAGTATTCAAATCAGTCTTCATTGCACTTCAAACGGCTTCCACATTGGCAGGGATCTGGGCCACTAACTCGAATGCTAACAGATGCAGGCCCCTGTTTCAAGCCTCTCAAGCTTAAACTTAGTTTAGGCATGTTCAGTTGCATGCTTAACCTCATGTAATCTTGTATAAAAGACTCACTTACAACATCCCTACACACTCTATTCAACATTATCTGTATGAAAAAGACCTTGTGTTCAGTCATTCTTCATAATTTTTTTTTTTTTTTTCCCCTTCATTTACATGGTATTAAACTTCAACAGTGTAATTAGACTGAATAGTATTAGTGAGGAGGAATTGTAACCGTAATAGACAAGATCAGAAGTGTGCAAGATTGTGTTTACCGTCAGATCAATTGACATGATATTATCTCATGAAAAGTCGTAGTAGTGGAGCAGGCTGGATTCCTTCATCTTCTTCATCTATTATTATTGACAGTGCAGGCGCTGTGAGAGGTGCTGTGGCAGGCGCTGTGGTAGGCACTGTGCCAGACACTGTTGCAGACAAATGCAGAATGAATGCAAGTTAACCTTGGAAATAGACAGTAACTAGATCATTTGACTTAATGAGATTGACACTTCAATCAGATTCAAAGAATCATTTATTATTTGAAGACTGACTGTCTGATATTTTACACAGATATAAAATAGAAGAGATTGTATTGAATAAGAAAGATCTGTATCTGTCTGTTGTCACTGTGTGTATTTGATTAATATATCAAAATCACTACAATTTGTACGGAGTAAGTGTGATACTCAATGCTGACAGTAACTACTCCGCAAGTACACTAATAATATACACTTTTCATGTGCAGATTATATGAAGCTACTGCGTAGACATGCAACTGAACACACTCTTAGTTCTTTGTTATAAATCTTCCACCCAGATCTATGTTGTGTATAACTATGGAGTAGAGTACAGTACATACAATATTTTAACTTGTTAACTTAGTTATGATAAAAGTGGCTGACTCACTACTGTCTGTGTACGTCAGGTCAAATAGATTACATAAATTACACGAAAACAAGTTAACTAACTAGTTAACTTAGTTAATACAGCTGATCACTGATGTAATTCAACAGCTTTCGTGCCTCGAGGAGATATAAAAGATACACAGCCCTAACCAAGCCTCCGATGAAAGAACCGTCCGTCCGAGACCTTAGAAGTTTGTTGGAAAAGCGGCATTGGCCATTGGTGGGGCCGGGCGCTAACTAGGTGGTTGTGAAATTGGGTAAAGGATGGAAGAACGGACGGGGCTAGCTCTAAGGTTTGATAACGGTAAACTAACGAGGGATAAAAATAGCAACGAGAGAACAACCAAGCCAGAGAATTGTTGCGGTAAATCAGCCAGGTTCGGAGCATTTGTTTTTCACTCTTGTTTATTGTTGTTTCCGCTTGGGGATCGTGCACAGCCGGGTCGACTTGGACTTGGACTTGGACTTTGGGGGGAGGAGGAGCGGATTTAGAACTTGTGCAGGGTAAAGTAGTTTAAGGTAAGGGGAAGGGCGGCCTAACCTAACTACAAGAGAGAGTACTGTACTCTGTACTCTGTATGTACTCTGTACTCCGTACGGCTCCGTACTCCTCCGTACTTCCTCCGTTACGCTATAACTAGTTACTCCGTACATAATCTGTTGTTATCTTAAATGAAGCTCAGCCAAGAGCCAGGAACCCACCCACCGGCATTGGAGCCCAACCGATGTTCTTCTATCCACACTGCCTCAGTAACTTCCACGCGCTGCTTTTGTTGCTGGGATAACTGGGATAATAACTGGGATAACATAACTATACACAAATGTTGCGGTCGAATGTCCCTTGCACACATACATACGATACGATACGGGGGTTTCCTTCCACGCCCCGTTCGACGACGACACACCACCCCCGCCCCACGTTTGCCTCTCAGAAATACCGACTAGCTCTAACAAGCATGGCCGATTCTCACGTAAGCCAACACCCGCCAGCACTAACCAATCAGACACGGCCAACCTCTCCCTTCCACCGCCCGCCAAGCCCCCAATCAGCGCGTGATGCCGGGCAGCGCTAAACCGAAACCAGGCAACGTGTGAAGTGGCCCCGTTGTTCCCTTCGCGAGTCTTTCCCTTTCCTTAGGCTTTTTTTATTAGTCTCTCTCACTCTCTCTCTCTTTCTCCCTCTCTCTCCCTAACTCCCAACTCCCTAACTCCCTTAACCTAACTAACTCCCTTCTCCCTTCTCCCTTCGCCCTTCGCCCTTTTTGCCGTTTTGCTTCCTTCCGTTTCCCTCTCTTCTTCTCGAGTCTTCTCGCTTCCCCCCCCCCCCCCCGGTCCGCTCCCTCCTCCTGCTCTATCTTTAGAAATCCCGGGTCCCCCCGATCAAAAACGCCCACCGAAACCAAAACACACCACCAAACCCCCCCCCCCCCAAAAAATACGGAAAATTGGAAAATAACTAACCCTTGTATCGCTTCGGAAGGCAGACTAAAATTCCCTCCATACTTTAGCGCCATTGCACAGGTAGAGGCCGTCATAGTTGAAAGCTGGAATTCGGATAATCCCCTCCCCCGACCCCGAGCACTCGTTTCCCCCAGCTCTGAAAAAGTGAGCAGAACAATGATCTAGAGCACTAATCCATTATGTCACGCTGCGAGCAGA